GCTAATTAGTACAACGAGATGAACAAATTTATAGAAGCAGTTACTTTAACGATAGTAAAAACAGATTTTATAAAATGATATGATACAGGGAGGAAGAATTGGTTCGTATAAAGTAATTTTAATCTCACGGTTTAAGGGAAGACAAAATGTCACCCAGTTTCCAACCAAGTAGTCTGCATCTAACATGACTAAGACTAGAAGTAAGTGACTTCGAGGACTAACGATAAGTTTTGGTTTGGCCGCTCCCAACTTTCTTCCATCCATCTCCAACACTAGTCAGCACTGTGCAACATGGTAATCGGTGGTTAGGCATGCATAATACGTAACCCAACCATTCCAGTCGATGTAGATTCGAAACCTCATCAACTGATTTACCATCATTTCCTTATACCCTGCGTCTAACCTCACTATTACTTACCCGGTGATGCCAGATTGTGCGAGAAATGTTTTCACGACATCTGTGATCTTCTACTCTTAATGGCCAAGTTTCGCAGCCGTGAAGTAGAACAGAACGAACTGCTGCGCAATATACTCGTTCCTTAATTGATAGACGGATATCTCGCCTTCGCCATAGGTGACGTAAGTTGGGAAAAGCCAAATGGGCGTTTTGAATCCGTGCAGACATTTTATCAGACACCAACCCATTAGGGCTGATCAGACTTTCAAGATAAGTAAAGTTATTGACGCGTTCGACTACTCCACTATTCAAGGCATAAAACTTGTAGGCAACCACTATTACTGGTGTTTTATTGAATACTGTTAACTGTAAAGTAAACCATGATATTATTTGGAATTGCTCAGAGATCGAAGAAAATTATTTAATTAAGAGGTAAGACGACCAGTTAAAAAAAGCAGATCAAGGTAATCATTATTTCCAAAGAGTACTGTTACTTCCGCATTGGAAGGTTGGACAAGTTCACAGAAAGAAAAATTCAAAGAAAGTTTCGAGTGACTGAAACGACTAGGAAAGTAATACAACTTCGTTTATTAGTTGATGCACTGGACATATTTTTATTGTCTGTTAATAACTGAAATCAGTGAAAAATATAAAGCAGGAATTTTTAAGTGACATTATCTAACTAAAATGTAGAGCTTCACCAACAAAAAATTTTAAATAAAAAGCGTCACATGTAAGTTAAATTAACAAAATATTCACATCGGTAATCTCAGCACCTCTGTAATAATACAATACTAGGATAGTTGCTACATCAATGGTTGAAGTGCCTTTTGAAAGATGTATCTGCAAAGTACTTGATAGTTCACTAGTCATTTGAGAAATGGTATGAAAAGACAGCGTGCTTAGTTGCTTTCGGAAATATATAGATCTTATGTGTACTATGGAATAGGACAGCTTTTGATTGTGGTGACTGATTCGAGCAAAAACGTAGTGAGTGGAGTGCTCACCAGTTGATGAGATCATCGTGGTTCGTGAAATAAAAATTCTGTGGATTTTGTGTAAATCAGTAAAAATGAACAAAGTTTAATGGCTGTGTTCAAACTGAAGATCATTGACTATTTATAGTTATTAGCCATTAAAGTCAAATAAATTTTCCAAATATCTATCTTTTTAGATCCCTCTTTTAATGAAAACAAATGACTACTACAGCGCAGTTAACAGATTACAGATAACTTGATTATTTTAAGCAATGTTTCTTAGATATTATCACAATATTTAGCAGAGGTTGTGAAATGTGATTTACTTGGAAAACACCGGACAGATTCATCTAGTGCATTACACTATGGTTGTAAATTTACTCACCTAAATGCTTTTAGACGTAACGTGTTTTTATTCTGGAATAATAAAGCAATTACCATCTCATCATTTGAATAATTATTATAAATTAAGCGTCAATTAAATAGATTGTATGTTAAACGACACTTCATCAGATTATCTTACTCCATCGTATTTATAATTAAAACATTCCTCGTACTAAGGACTTTTAATAAGACTATTAAACGAGTATCACTCTGTAGTAACCAATTTAGAGCTGTCGTAGAATTCCTGTCAATCCTAAGTCCGGATAAAAGGAGAGGTTTGGTATGGGGTTAGCAACCCTATTCCTTAAAAATAACCTTGCCGAAAAACGATAACCAGAAAAGTCAACACTGTAGTAAAACTATCGAATGTTTTTCTAGTGCATAAAACTTTGTCAGTACATGGGTTAAATAAAATGGGTGATTTATATAACTTTATGTTTTAATATATTTATTATTACTATTATTATTGACTAAGAAACTCAACACTGAGCAAATTACGTCATATGGATTTATATCTACTTATTAGAATAAGGTGTAAGGAAAAAAACAAGCAATTCGTCAATAAAATTAGTTTCGTACATAAGACATGTAACGCGTAGATCCAAATATTCCATAAATATGATCACGAAAAATGATTGTTTAGTCGGACTCATAAGGACGTTTATTATTAGAGATGTTTTGTGACTTCACTCGGGTCGAATGAGAATGTCACATGGTTGAATTCAGCAATAATTACTAATGAATAAAACAGTTAAACTATTAAATCTTAGTTTTGGAAAACACAGCGAATATTTTAGAAATACGTAAATTCCCTGGTATGACCGACAGTGGAGAGAGTACGCTCTCCCCTACGAAATTCTCTCATACGGCTAAGAGTATACAGCCACTGCCAAGGACGTCCTACCCACTGCCTTGTTTACGAAATCGAGAGTATGAAAAGTGAATGCCCGGTGCTCTAACCAACATGGCGGATACGGAAAATTCACCATGGGTATTTAAGAACCCTGGGTCTAAGCTAATGGTGCACATGGGTTCCGGGATCCTGACAAAACAATCGGTGTATGAACCTGTTGTTGGTCACCGGCTACGATCAGACGGCATCTCCTAGCGTTGATTCACTGCCTTGTGGATTACACTTCTATGTAAAAGGTTTGGAGATCGGCTCCCTAAGGAAACCACCTTTTTCAGTTTGAGCACCCGGACAGTGTCTCAGCCCATAAATAAACCAAATGATGACTACAATTGGAAAAACTATTCACGTCTCAATTCTCATTCTCACAAATCACACTCAAAACTACTTATTAATACTCGTTTTTATTTTACTTTGCATCACTTGTCTACTCGTTTATTTCAATTTTGCACATTCTCTTATTCTTCAACTGCTTTAGCAGCTCGCCCGTGATGGAAAACCTGTTCTGCCTAAACGATCTAGAGTCACCTACTGGTCGAAAGTTAAATACTACCACCGAATAAGAATTTTGAACCAACCATTTGTTAAATCACGTATGCCATTCAAATTGACCTTCTTCAACGTTCACACAGTAATACAGATCGAGCAACAGATAGGATTGGCCATATCTTTACAGGGTCTTAAAATCAATGTCTATATGAGATCCACATTTAAGACTTTAGTGAAATGCTACAAATTTTCTCTCTATCTCTCACTTCGAAAAGCTTGTTTCGCAGGTATTTTTTCCCGAGGACTCTGAGAAATCTTCGTTTGGCGTTGATGTCGCACTAGGGCTGAGGTGGAACTTATCGATTGGATCCCTATCAAGTCAGCTTTGTGCTGTTAGATTAGGAAGTTCCATCAAAGTGAGAACAAATTGGTGTGAGAAACGATATCTTTTCGTCATCTCTGCCTATGCTTCGACAAACAGCAGTGTGAATGAGTTCAATCATCAGTTAAGTATTTTACAGAAAGCGCGTTCGACAGACATTTTAGTACTAGCCGGAAACCTGAATGTACAGGTCAGGTGACTAGACACAGAGAAGAGTGGTTTGAATGGCCAATGGAGACTTGCTGGTTCCAGGCCAGAAACTGAAACTTTGCACAGATTGAAGCCTGTTTCTGACAAGCGCTAACTGTCGACACAGTAGTCGACGATGTGCTACTTGGCGTCCTTCATCTGCACCTAAAACCTGAACTCAGATTGTTCACATAGCTATCAGCTACCGCTGGTATGGTTCTCTGCAAGACTGCCACTCCTTTGTAGTACGAATCTAGACTTTAACTATGACCTTGTTTGTGTTAATCTTACCTCGCGTTTCAGTGGCTAACAAGTTTATCGCTCTTAACGGAATGGTATCAGCAAAATGGTTGCAGCTTCTATTGAGAATAAATATCGAACAGAGATAGGTTCAAGGCTAGCTACCGACCTATCAAAAAGTATAGATGAGGATTGGGTGCAATCACATGACGCCGAAGGAATGGCGAATAAAGTTGCTTGGGTCTTTGCCAAACGTCCCGCTGATAAGCACTAGGTTTCCACAGGCTAGATCTAGCTTAGAGAACAAAACCATCCATCTGAGCTACAAATTTCCACTTGAGGATATTTCATCCATTACGCTTTGTTTAAACGAGTCACTACAATAAATCACTCTGTTGCTTTGTAGTGCACAACAAGATATACACATTACCAAAAATAACTCGGTTTGCTGTCTTATAATGGCATTCGTACACTGAAGTGAACTTCCAAGCAATTTGTAGATATTTCCTCAAAAATATTTCAGCGATTAATCTAACGACTATCCTAATATTGTATTACTGCAGAGATGCTGAGTTTATCGATGGAAATATTTTAGGAATGTGATTTATATATGACACCTGATATTTAAAATTCTTGTTAATAACTAAGTTGATGAGATTATTTCTGTTAAACGATTATGCTTCGTATTTTTCACTAATGTAAATGTTTAACAGGTAACAAACATTATCTTCGTGCATCAATAGAACAGCGATTTATTACTTTTCTAATAACTACAGTCACATAGAACATACTGTAATGATTAACTTAACAAAAATATGTTTAACTGGCTTCTGCAAATACATTATTGAATTGGTTAGCATGCATCGTTGATCACTAGGATGAACAATACAGTAAGGCTGATGCAACATACGGTAAATACATTCTTTTTATTATTTGGCATTCCATTCAAACTCTTCGACATTTCTGAACTCTCATAAACAATCACATTTATACACAAACATATCTGAACGCTTCATAGGAAAAACATTTTCTGGTATAATAAAATTTAGATTGTAATTTAATCTTGAGCTGTACAATCGATTGGCAAAAATATTTATTTCAGCTTCTCGAAATTACTTACATCAATATTACATTAGATTTAATCGAAACATTTGAAACGCCAATAAAGTTAGAATATTTGCTTTAAATGCTCTCTAGTTGCATATAAACCACATTAAGAGAATGTAAAATTTGTACAATGACAAATGTAAGAAAACAGCTTGTACCAAACTTCCAATCATATTCATTATTGTATACGTTTACTGAAAACAAACATCTTTTATCGATGACTACATGATTAATTAGGGAGAGTAGATGGTCATTTGCTAAAAATCAGATTTCTAATATTAATCAGTAGTTCAAATTTCATCCTAACTGAGACTACTGAACACTTCAGTCGAGTTAAGAAAACGGGCATTTATTCTTAAAACAAGCACTGAAACTTCCCTGAATTGTCCTATCAAAGCAAAAGAAGCATTCTCAAATGCTAAACATCTTGGGCTAAAGATAATTTATGTGACCTACTGCAGAATTTTCGACTTCCTTAGGTATATAAGTCATGCCATACGTTTTCACAGGGATTTAACATTCTATAATAAACGGGATGTTAATTACATAGGATTGAAGAATTCCGTATAAAAAGCAATAAATGTAACTTAATTTGTAAACATACTTCCATTTTAAAATAAAAGATCGCTATGCAGTGAACTCACTTTCGCAGTGGAAAGACTTTACTAATTTTATAATAACCTTTTCTTTCAGGTTAACTAAATGCTGTCAGACGCTGTATATTTTAAACAAAACATTTTCCACAAGACTTAGATACTTCGCACATCAACTTGTCTCTTAATATGAGTCTGTGTCGGTTCAAAGTTCCGTTGTATAAGCGGTCTCAATAAGCTGCTGAACTGTCAAATTTATGAATGTGTCTAACACAGAACTCGACATTTTTTTTAGAACGACTGTACTTCCTTTCCTTCCACTTTTTAACAACAGGATATCTTGTGTGGTATATACTATTTTCTAGTGCCTAGTCTTACAAGCATTTGTGTGTATCGAACAGAATGAAATAACGTAAGATGGAAATACGTCAATAAGTACCAATAGTTTACTTAATTCTCAGTTCACTTAAACTTATCACTAAATATCTAGTCTTAAAACTCAAACGGCAAAACGTCGGTGCAAAAACCTTATAAAATTTATTTAGTTTTTGAAAAAGTTTCATGGAAATTATGTATTTATTACGGTAATATTTACAGGTAAAAAGGCCTGGAGCCTTGTCTTTCATATTGACTCAATGGCACTTTTATATGTTTGTAATGGTTATTTCTGTTAAGTAATGAATACTTTTCTATTACACGAGTGGGTTCAACACCCAAGTTATACTCCAGAGGAGTCGTTACTTAGTTTTAAATCCCGTAGAACTAATTTTACATATACACCTTTACAGGATACGTAAAACATGGTTCAGTGACCTTAATTAATGAATAATTATATGAATTTTGCCTGGTTATTACTCCAAAACCTAATTCAAAACATAGAAAGTGCCTGGGAGCATGTGATGCATAAACTTTCTTGAACACTGTGAATATCCTGATTGCATTATGTACGTATGAATGCCATTACGTAACCCGTTCAGCATAGTGGGTCACAAGTCTTATCTTCTGAAAAGTATTGATACTAGACAGTTGTCAAATCTGAAGCAGATGAATTGGAATTGGTTAAAATGAAAACTGAATAAGTACAGATCACAAAATGAGTTAATATACAAGACGGTGAGTGAGACACACATGCCTTTACAAGCTGGTGAACTCTTTAATCGAAACACATAGGTAAATGTAAAGAATTTTGTGCATTTTCATTTCAAATACTGGCGTCCACATACGGTTTAGTGAAGAAATCAAACGTCCTACAGATTGTAGGATATGTTCAAGCCAAAAATTCACATCGGTTTAGACGACTGTATCGTTATCTTATGGAATTGAGTACTAACAAGAATAATTAGCAATAATTATACGAGATAAACAGACCAAGTAATTTTTTAACATTACACAAGACTGATTTGCATCAGGATATCAAGCAAAACCTTCATTAAGACATTATAAGCTGGAATAGATGGTGGCCATCATTGGGATTCAGGGAGCGCGCTTCGTTCTATTCGGGACTCATCAGTTGGAGTTACCTACATTAGTTTAAGTCTTAAACATCATTGGGAAGATTTAAACCAACAATACAAATCAATTCAACCAACAAAACAGCTAACAAATTTCAGAAAGGATGAATGAAAGTGTCACCATAATATTGCCAAAAACACCAACATACATTACAGATGATACTAAAAATTGATTCAAAAACTCGATGTCAAGAAAAATATAAGCTATTACGATATCTTGTCAATTAATTGAAGGGATAAGAAAACACTTTACAGTTTCTTTAACAGCTCAGATGCCTCCTTTTTTGCCTAAGTTTATCAGTTAGGTAACAAAAATCATCTGATTACCTCTTCAGTATCCAAGTCATCTTCCGTAAATTCTAACACTTTATGACAATAATGCTTAGCCAGATCATAATTCTTTAACCTGTGGTACGTCTTTGCTATATAAAGAGAATTTTTTACGATAGTTCCAGGAGACTCTGAGAAAAATTATTGCATATAAAGAACACAAATTACTTTTTTCTGAATCAAGGAGATAGTTAAGAGCCTATAGTGTTATTCTCATTAGCCACTAAACTTACTTCTTCGTAGGTAGACGTAGGTGGTTCACCGAAAAAGGTAGCGGCAAGCTTTCGCTTTATCCATGGGAGATCTGTAACCTCGAAACACCTATGAAAGTGTTATGAAATATGATGTATTACTAACCATCTCCCAAGAGCGTGCAATGTAACAACGTCGTCAGGATTTGCTTTTATGGCTTTCTGAAAGATAAACTTCGTAAAACAGAATTACCATCCAATGGTCCTTCATCTTAAAAGAATTTTCTATCCGCTTATTTATTCCCTCAATTTCTGATGATAAGTTTAGAAATATTGCGTACCACTGTAGCGGTTCCAATATATATTTTTATTAAGTTAATCGGATATGAAACGTACGGAGTTGCACTTAGAATTTTCTGAATCTATTCGGAGCCCTTCGTCACAAGCTGAAAGACCTTCTTCGATGTACTTTTTATACACTTGTTTATCGTTTTTACCCAGTGAGTTAGCTGATATTGGCTTAAAAGACTTGGAAAGATTACCTAGATTTCTGCAGCTACGAGCCTTCCTCCAGTACAGTTCGGGATCCTTGTTATCAATTATTGCATTGGATACTACAGAATATGCTTCTTCATATTTCTTAGAATTTTCAAACTTCTCCCATTCTGCAATTACACCGTCCATAGCGCTAATTCGCTTATCGAGGCCAAGAACGTTTTACCTTGAAATCGAGGTGTTTAAAGTATTTGTTCAGCAGAAACAGTGAACAGTATGCAAAATATCTTACCTCTCCTAAGTCTAAAGATTTTCCGCTGAAATACTGAAACAGAAATAAAAAGATTGTCGGACAGTTTATAAAATAGCATAAATTAGAGTTGTACAATATATCAAGATACACTCACCTTCTTGAACATAGTAAGCCGTTTGTTTAATACATGTTATATCAACGCTGAGTAGATCTGTAATAAAAAAGACAAATATATTCCTGTTTGCATCCCTTTATCAAATGTTACTTATAATTATATCCGAAGCATGAACTACCAGAAAGATTTCGGATTTCTATATTACTTACTTACTTACGCCTGTTACTCCTCGTGAAGGAGCATAGGCCGCTCACCAGCGTTCTCCATCCAACCCTGTCCTGGGCAATCCTTTCTAGCTCCGTCCAGTTGTAATTCATCGTTTTCATATCTGCTTTTATTATTATCCGATGCAATGTGTTCTTTGGCCTTTCTCTTTATCGCTTCCCCTCAGGATTCCAAGTTAGGGCTTGCCTCGTGATGCAGTTTGACGATTTGCGTAATGTATGTCCTGTCCATTTCCATCGTCTTTTCCTAATTTCCTCTTCAGCTGGAAGTTGCTTTGTTCTCTCCCACAGAAGGCTGTTGCTGATGGTATCCGGCCAATGGATGTTGAGTATCTTGCGAAGGCAGCTATTTATAAATACTTGTACTTTCTTGATTGTGGTTGTTGTAGTTCTCCAAGTTTCAGCTCCATACAGTAGAACTGCCTTGACGTTCGTATTGAAGATTCTCACTTTGATATTGGTTGAAAGTTGTTTTGAGTTCCATATGTTCTTCAATTGTAGGAATGCGACCCTTGCTTTACCGATCCTCGCCTTTACGTCTGCATCTGAGCCTCCTTGTTCATCGATGATGCTTCCCAGATATGTGAAGGATTCTACATCTTCCAGAGTTTCGCCATCAAGAGTGATTGGATTGCTGTTCTCCGCTTTGAATTTGAGGACCTTAGTTTTCCCTTTGTGTATGCTGAGGCCTACTGATGCAGAGACTGCTGCTACACTGGCTGTCTTCATCTGCATCTGTTCGTGTGTACGTGATAGGAGGGCTAGGTCATCTGCGAAGTCCAAATCGTCTAATTGATTCTGAGCTGTCCATTGTATGCCGTGTTTTCCTTCAGATGTTGAGGTCTTCATAATCCAGTCGACCACCAGGAGAAAAAGGAAGGGAGAGAGTAAACAGCCTTGTCTGACTCCGGTCCTTACTTGGAATGCATCTGTCAGCTGTCCTCCATGCACTACTTTGCACTGTAGTCCGTCGTATGAGTTCCGGATTATATTGACAATCTTCTCAGGAATTCCGTAGTGTCGAAGAAGTTTCCATAACGTCCTCCTGTCTACACTGTCGAATGCCTTTTCATAATCAATGAAGTTGATGTATAATGATGAGTTCCACTCAACTGATTGTTCGACGATGATCCGTAGTGTTGCAATTTGGTCTGTGCACGACCGATCCTTACGGAATCCAGCTTGTTGATCTCGAAGTTGGGCGTCTACTGCATCCTTCATCCGGTTCAGCAACACTCTGTTGAAGACTTTCCCTGGTATTGACAGTAGTGCTATGCCTCTGTAGTTTTCACATTTGCTCAGATCTCCTTTCTTTGGAATCTTGACGAGGTGTCCTTCTTTCCAGTCCATCGGCACTTGTTCCTCCTCCCAAATCTTTTTGAATAGAAGACAAAGCATGCTTGTGGTTGTTTCGATGTCTGATTTCAGTGCTTCAGCTGGTATGTTGTCGGGTCCTGCTGCTTTCCCGTTCTTGATTTGTCTGACGGCCATTCTAATTTCTTCCGTAGTTGGTGGATTGACATCTATAGGAAGATCTATGTGTGCTGCTTCGATGTCCGGTGGATTCATTGGAGCCGGCCTATTCAGGAGTTCCTCGAAGTATTCTACCCATCTGTTACGTTGTTGTTGAATTTCGGTGATTGGCTTGCCTTCTTTGTCTTTGACCGGCCTCTCTGGTTTACTGTATTTCCCTGATAGTTTCTTCGTTGTATCGTAAAGCTGTTTCATGTTTCCTTCTCTAGCAGCTTTTTCTGCCGTCGTTGCTAGTTCTTCAACGTATTTCCGCCTGTAGCTCTTATAGGGTTGCTGCCGGTCCCAAGCCCGGGTAAAGGAGGAGGGTTGGGCATGGGTTAGCGTCCCCATCCCGTAGAAAACTAACTCGCTAAAAAAACGCTTACCAGAAAAAATAATCCAAACCATTTTAACTCTGCACTGGGAGTTAGAAGGATTTCTATATACTTTATGACAATTGTTTCCTTCAACGAATTGATAGGTCAAAGGGATGTGGCAGATATCACCTCACATATGCTCACTTCAGTCTAATTTCACTTTTTCGTTATATGCAAGAACTAAACAAACTGCAGGGTTCAGTGTGGATTGTTCTGAAGTCCTCAACTTCAGTTTCAGATCTGTGTTTGCCATCAACATAACGCATCAAAAAGTGAAAAAGCAATAATGTCAGAGGTATTCACAGTAGCCTCACTCCTACCATTCACAAGCAAGCCTAATTGTAGGGACTTCCGAATGCCTGAATTCTCTTGGTTTCCAATCAAGGCGCCAAAACGTTTTGAATAATTGGTTGAGTGTCTAGAATATGGAAACGAGCCACACTAATTTTGATTAAAATAAGCCAGTTGTCATCAAAAACAAATACAAATGACCCTACACTTTCAGCTCTTTCGAATCACCTTTGTTTATACAATCCTTGGTCCATTTAAGTCCATACTTTGGCCTGTTTTCTCCAACCTGTTGAAATAAGTCTCCTATTTCTATGAATAATATGCCGTATAACGTATCATTCTGAATGAGTGACCTTATATAGTCAAGCCCATAGCACCAGTAAGGGTGAATTTTTCCGCAACACAAACATGTAAACTTAATGTATCGCCAAGTGTAATAACAGTCATCTGTGAGTTCAAGTAACCACAGATTTTGTCATTTCACAATGTATTTTTAATTAAATAACTAGATTATGTTGTTAATTTTGCTCTCTTTTTAATTTTCATTCGCCACGTCTGACTGTGTTACACTGTACGTTCATTGAACGCTGGAATGATATCCCAGGACATAGTGAGTTTGATCACATAGTTGATTGTTTCCAGATAGACCATGAGTACATAGTGATACTGAAGAAAGGTTTGTTCTACTGTAAACTATGTTTTTATGAACAACTGACTGATGCCTTAAACCTGAAAGCAATATATATATCATTTATCTTCTGTTAGGTTTAGCTCGACTGGCCCATATTTCGTGTTTTGGTTTTATCGGCTTAATTATATCCATTTAACTACTTTGAACAACATGTCTGTGCAAATGAAACAATAATTATGACACTTGCTTAGTTTAGTATTCTTGGTTGTCGTATAGTTCAGTTTAGTCGGAAGAATTATGGTATACTTAAGTATAGTGCTTGAAGCCTGTAACGAAACAGATCAGTTTAGTAAGTAGAGCTGCCTGTTTCTAATGAGAATACTGATTGAAATGAGTTTGACTAAAGATATTGAAAAATGCCTTTGGTACTGTTGCTGTCATACATTATAAGATAGCTTTAAGTACATTTGATGTTTATTTCTAGACTGTACATCTATCACTGACCATATTTCAAGATCACTGTCAACAAACAATTTCAACAGCAATAACATCGGTAGCAGGTTAGCTAAGTGTCTGAGTTCATAGTTGCCCGCAAAACAGCAGTACACAGTCTTAAAAGATGAGTTTTCGATGTCTCAATTGAATGTTGATGGCTGTGGCTAAATGTTCAGAATCTTTTTGACAACTGGGACTTTTAGTTTATCAGACACTGATTCTGATTGTGTGTCTTCCTGTTAAACAAGACGCAGATGTGTAGACTGGCGTCGAGTCACAGTTGACTATAAACACCACTACGAAGGAACGCGTGCCAGGATATCCATAAAATCCCCGGGAAGCCAAATATCAGAAGGAAGTTAATGGGCCAAATCGAGATATGCTTGCTGGCGATCTCGTGATATCGAAAGGATACCGAGATCGTGCCAGGATACAACCCTGGTTACAGAAGGTAACCGAATTCCCACGACGTCACAATCAAAGTAAGTATAATGGATGTTTTTAGCACAGTTAAACAAAGAGCACATTAAACAGTCGCTGGTACAATTGGTTATAATAATAGTTATTTTCAATGAACCAATCGTGTTCTCGTGATAAAAGTGAGTCACTACAGATGCATGGGAATACTTAAATGGGAGCGAAATAATAATGGCATTGCCGTACGGCACTAAGCCCATATGATGCTTTGCACAAGTAATAGTAGCTGTCCTGATCTAATATTCATGAACTCAAAGTAAATCACAACTGCACAAATTCTTTGCAAAAATCATGTAATTTGGTTATTTATCTATTCCACATTTCTGACTAAATTCAATATTTTTTCATTTAGAATGCAACAGCAGTGAGTCTTCACAGATCCTACGAACTGTTTCGCCCTTAGAACTATAGCCCTATGGAATTGTTCACGGGAGACCCAACTAACAGCAGATTATGAAAAGGATGCTGGATGTCCATTTTAGTCTCACAACCACTTCCAGTACTTTTTGAGTTTCTTCTTTTACCCTTTCGTTTGGAAAAAAACGACGGAGACTGCAGCTTAACATTACCAATGCAACTTTTAAACGGGGACTTCGTTTAAACCTTTGTTTGAAATTCGATTCCTAACGGAAGCTCCTGAATAAATCTTTAAATCTAATGCTTTGTTTTACCTACCTAATCGTTGCAAGAAACTTGCGATACACGAGCCTCGCAGCACCTATTTCATATGTAGTAAATTTAAGTGATTTGGTACATATCTTCGTCATTTTCTTAGGAAACCTACAGACTTGAGTCCCCTCATAACAAATTCTAACCACGGCAGCTGATGGACACACGTTATACATCCTAACCGTACCTGCGTCTAATCTCACAGCTTCTTATTCGAAGGCCATATGACAGGCAAGCGATGCCCCTACCCGCACTAATGGAACACTAGTAACTCAAAGGCACCCTGTATGTTGCCTAACATTGGTCTACGCCCTCGCTTAGCTCTTTAGTGAGAATATTACTACAGTTCTGCTAAAAAAACCATGAACCCCCTATCTTCATCAAAAACGTCTGTATTTGCTGCATATAGCAATTTTATTTTTCTGAAGTAAGATATAACAGTTGGAATTAGAGTAAAATGGCAGTATACGGCAGATGAACTTGGTAAATGTCTTCATGGATTAACTGCAATAGAGAATACGGATATTAGCTTAACAGGCTTATTTAGAAAGACTATTGTCTACTTTGAACTTACTACGTGAGAAAGTTATACAGGAACTACGAATAATGTAGGAATCCAGTCTCACAGGGCGTAGGAAGCACTCAAACTGGAAGACAGCTGTCTGATTTGCAGGTACTTCTCATCGTAAGGGTGAACATATTAGGTACCGGATGACATCATACCGTAAAAAAACACAAATTTGCGAGTGTCGAAATACGATCTATAAAAAAGTGAACTTAATAACAGTTGCTTACCTTCTTACTCCCTGATCATAACCCTTCGGCTTCCTTCTATGCCCAAAACGGCAAACATACACTACACACTGATAGCAGATTTCCGGCTTTTCAATGTTAGTCTTGCTTTAACGCACGACGTAATGAGTACACCCCCTCCATTACTGATATATGGCATATTTTTTATAACAAACCCTCTGCAATATATTGGTAGCATCTGTGACTTCGTCTATGGTTGTCGAATGTCTGGGTCCTTTCGAAAACAATACTGATATCCCCTACTGCTGGGCACTCAGTATTACTTTGACTCGTTGGTGAGATAGTGTTGTCCTTAATACAGAAGAAAATTAAAAACCAGAGATTGTTTCTTTTTATTGTACCGATAACATCATAAAGGACAGTTAGGAACGAACATGCGGATAGTTGGTCACAGGCAGCTAAAAAAACGTTCTGCTTTGAATATCTAGAAAACAAGTCAAAACAAAACCGATTACCATTTTAAAACATAAGACTAGCCAGACTGCCTGAAGAAATACATTGACTTGAGTAGAAGCAGCAAAAAACAATGCTGTTTCGAAATAAGTTTCACACCAACATATAGAACATTGCACTGACTGCGGCATTTCAGCACACTGAAACATTAAATTACATAGCTACACAAAAGAAATAGCTGAAAAAAGCACAGAACGAAGAAAGCCAACCTCCAAAGATGGCGGATATGATAATTCCAGCCTCATTCTGATTGGTTGCTAAGCTGAAGGCCACATTTATGAGATCGAGTTGTGTTTAATAGCAGCCCACCTGTAACTATTTGATTTTGCCCGTAAAACGGGATGCTTCATGTAACAGATTATTATTTGAAAAAATGTCATTATTAATATGAACAAGCATACATAATTGGGGTAGATCTGCTACCAATATATCATTATGTGGGCAAAAATATATAGAATAGACATAAGCAATACTTTCTTCAGCTACAGCCACTTATTTCAACAGTACTTGAGTGATGAACTACAAAACCTTAGGTGTTTGAAACCTCAGTAATGTGAATCGATGACCCATCAAAGGAGAAGTAATTCCAGCAACCCGAAAACAACGTTTTATTCCAAAACGATAAGAAAATAATAAAAGTGGTTAGTTAGCTGTAAGATAGTGTTCATGTAAGAAATACGAAAATATCTAACCGCTAGTGCCAGAAACAATAAATTTCCCAAAATAATAGGACCCGTAGTTTTATTTTTAAAGGCTAGGTTAAGGCAGTAAATGCAAACAGAATCAACTAATATTCACCAACTTTAAATAACAGCCACTAGAAATAACAAATGTCAAAGGCAACTGATGTGTAGACGCTTTAGAAGTGCCGAACGACATTGAAATGCTAAAAATAAAACAAAATGAATCATTTCAATCTCAAAGTCATCGGGTGAGGAATAAAACGTAAGAATAAAGGAATCAAATTTTTACGTCTCAGAGCAAAACAAATTGTCATCGTCACGCTCACTAGTAAGCGTATGGTCCGTAAGTACCCTACAATAGTAAGAGTAATACATAAATAACTTAATTAATTACGGGCTGAATCAGTGCATATAATCGAGCGATATAAGCTTGCTGAACATTTATCGTACTGAAAACTTATTCATACAACGTTGAGGGATTTTCCTCGTAAGGTACTTCTTGCCACCTGATGTGCTGTACTGGATACTAATTGCTCACAAAAGCCATCCAGTTAATTTCGGCCTGTCGCAAAGTCAGTGTGCATAATAAATATTTGAATGACTGGAATAACGAAGCAAGATTTTTTTGATGGTCTCAAACATTTACATAGGAATCAGAAAAATAAAAGGGGAATTGAGATTAACTGACTTGCAGGATATATTTTTGGATGATAGGATGAGTTATCAAAGTGTGTAATTGTTAACTGTCTAGTTATCTAAGCAGATGTGTACCAAGGCTAGTTGAGTCACCATCTGATGTGGATGTTTGGCTGAGCACCCTCATTTAGTGACGTTTTCAGTAAGGCCGAAATGGTCAACAGCAGTGTTAAATGTTTATACCCTATTGATGTTTGTGGATTACTTAACAATTAACACAGTATCAAGTTGTGTTTAAAGTGGTTTAGATTTATTATTTGTTAAAACATTGATACTATCATCTGATGACAATCGCCACCAATTATTCTATGATATGAGCTAGTGATTATGAAATTGGACGTTCTATGGATCTTTAGCGGTTAACTTGCAGTTGGACGTTTCAATTTGGTGAAAGTATGTTTAGGCAACATGGTTTTTATTGCCGATGTCATACGGCTTAGTGTAATCCTGTTATCGGCACAAGATTTTGAATCTTTTAGTTATTTCAAATTGCTAGAACTGCTTTTCTACCAGAAGAGCTATGTAATAGGAAAACACATTTGGATAGTTTTTTATTGCAATGTGATTAAAATCATGATTTTGATGTACTGCTAACTGTCAAAAGTTTTCTTAAGGAATTAAACTACTCATCCTGTGATTGCGGGTGTTATTTATTTCTTATGATTTGTCATTTATTCTTAGCCTACATAGCTACTCATTAACAGTTCAGACGTTAACTTACTGTAGTAAACCTAGGTTACCTATTACTATCCCTTGGTTTTCGTCTATCTCATCCATGATAGATTTTAGTGATATTTTGCACCATAGCCATTCATTCGCAATTAATATGGCATAATTGCCTATCAGCATAAACAGCTACTCAGGGTTATTACTATTCATAGAAGAGGAGCTTTTCTGTGACTAGTTGAAATACTTAAAGTATCAGCGAGTCAGAAGAACTAGAGCTCATTCAAGGGTTCAGTTATCTAATGATGCCGAGTTGTTTTCAATCAATGGTATATCATTGTGTATTTCTTTATCGTCTTTCGCAAATTTTAACCATCTAACGAGATCATGTGATCTAGGAAAGTAGATTTGTGACCTGCAAATACAGTATGTCGACATATGGATGGTGAGTCCTATCCAACTTTGATCTGGGGTGCCAGTTTTTGTCTTCTGGCTTCACTTCAAATGTATTTGTTATTTTATGTGATTGCTTTCAGTGAGGGTTCAGTTTTTCGAATTTTAGATAATACGTAGCTGGAATGCAAGTGTAAAACCCATCTCGTTTCAATATCCATAATATGAGTGTTTCGTGTAGTTGTATACTTATAGCTATCTCGAAATTGGTGTTTGTAATAAAATTATTTTGCATGTTGCAATTCATCGCAAGCAAGCCCATCCGACAGATATTGTAATGTCAGTTGGAGATTTGAGTGCTCCGACCGAGCATCTAGGAACAAAGAAGAGTCGCTTAAGTGTCTAATAGGGACTTATTGGCCACAGGTCAGATTGCGATGACTGTCTCCTGAAACTTTGCACAGCTTACGTGTTTCTAGTCTTAACTAATTTTCGACAGTCTTCGCTATTAGGTACTTGCCCTCTGTAAGTCAAGCCTGGATCCACTGATCAAATCACAATAAACTATTCGTAGTGTGTTCCCACACAAGGCTACTGCTCTTTTAAGAGTACTTATCTAGACTTATCATTGGTTCGATTTGCTTCGAGATTACTTTACACTTCAGCGGTCAACAAATTCGTCGTCCTAAACAGTTTGATGTAAGTAAATTGGTTGCACTTTCTGTTGCACTCAGATGTCAAGCCGTTTTGTGTTCAAGATAAGCGACCGATCCCTCGGAAAGTATATATAAGAATTGGCTAACTTTGCATGATACTATAAAGATGACGGATCACATCTGGTGGTATGGCGAAACATCCTGCATATAAGCTCTGGGTTTCTTCAGGATCCTTACAATTCCTTGATGTGTACCAGTCAACTCTGGCGAATCATACATTTAGCGATATATAAAGATTCTTACTTCAGGAAATTTCCTAAGGTTTACCTGAGGAAAGCTGGTGGTCTCAGAGCGCTACCGAAATAGGAATAGCTGGATTACATGGTAACTGCCGGAAGCTATTTCAACTCATCTGAGCCACGGGTGGCAAAAACGCCTGATGGATAAGTGAGACAATTTGTGAAATCAGTGGTACGCTAAGCAATAGCACTCAACGATGTCGTGAACAATAAGCAGAGCATTTCAGTCTCTGTTGTCTCAGAGGCATCCGGTTGAATGCCTTGTCCTTTTCGGTTCGTGGTCACCGATCTACTAATAAAAACGAAGGTTCTCAAGAAACCTCAACTTGCAGAGTATGTCAGTTCACCAGGTCCAAATGACCTCTCCGTAGTCTTCCGAAGGATAGTGGAAAACTAGGTAAGGAACCAATTGAGTTGTTTGAGAAAGTGAATGTGTTACAATTTCTTGGGATGAGGCAATCATCATCCTCATCTTTAAAAAGAGCTTACGCCATCAATGCAATAACTATCGTGGGATAAGTATAGTTATGGTTAGATCTAAACTATTGACTTTCGTCATAATTTACAGATAGTTCAAAACCCACAGGACTGTCTCGCTAGGCGTGTTCTGATTTCCGACCAGTCCGCATATTTATTAGTCACATCTTCACCCTCTAATAAATATCAAACCACCACTATACTTATCACAGACCAGCAATTGTTGTGTTTCTTGATATCAGGGCCTCTTTTGATTCATGAGTCATAAGCACATAAATATTGGTACAAAGGGTGAGGATTATCTGTTGAAAAAGAGTGTGTCTGTGTTTATTAACGTATTAACAAGGCTCTATTTGGAAACACCCCAAGCAGAACGAGAGCATACAATCACGTCTTTCTATTGCTTTACCATAGGAATGGGTTTAAACAAGGTTCCCCAACATTACCATTCATCACATTTGCCATCGTTGACATTCTGGGAAGAGCTCAGATACAAGTATGTAGTTCATTTCTCATTATTACTTATTTAAACATAAAAATTGGTTAAAGGAGGCACCAAATAGATATGAACCACATACTGGCATACTGCCCGGGTGCCCAAACCGAAGCAGGTGGTTTCCTTAGGGCGTCATATCCCGAGCCTTTGACCTAAAGGTCTAATCCACAAGACAGTGGAGCGACGTAAGGAGTTGCAGCCCCATGGTAGCCGGTGATTATTAATTAGTTCACACGCCTTTTGTTCCTTCAGGATACTGGAGCCCATGTGCACCCTGGGTTTGGAGTCAGGGTTTTCCAACTCCCCTAGATGGACTCTCCATGTCCACCAACCCGGTTAAAGCGCCGGACATTCACTTTTCGTCCTTTCAATTTGGTAAACAACAGTAATTTGGCGAGAAGGCAGTGAGTAGGACTTCCCTGGCAGTGGTTGTATGCACGTGGTCATGTGAGAGCATTTCGGGAGGGTTAGTTGACTCCCTACTCTCGGCCGTACCAGGGCATTTGGGGGCAAGTATGTAGTGAGAGATGTAAAGTCGTTACCCCGAAAAAGACCTTGATCTTGAGTATGCGGATGTACTCTATTTATTTATTTGAACGCAAACATCAGTACAAAAAGGCACCGAATACATATGCACCACATAATAAAAATGAGGTTGTGAATAGATAGAGAATGGAGAGTGAGTATAAAGAAGAGAAACAGTGGACATAATTTAGTGTATGAGAGCGAAATAGCAATAATAACAATGGGAGAAGCAGTTCAGTTAGGAAAAGTGCAACCAGAAAGAATTGTTTCAGTTAGAGAAGTTACGTTCACTATTGTGAAGAAAGTAAAATAAAGTTATAACGAGATCGCCAATTGCAACACCATGTTAGTAATACTGACGTTCGTCAATGTGTGTTTGGGCACAATTGCGATTCGGTTAGTACCTTCACTTCATATTCAGTGGCTTAAACATGTCCTAATAATGTCATCAAAAGGGTTCTCATTTTATTTGCTGACTCTGGAACTGGTTAAAAAAGCAAATGTGGTCAGCTTATGACAAGGGGCAGTATAGAATTGGCTCTTAGCGACCCGTCAAGGCTTTGTGGTTGCGATCCTAGAAATGGTGCAACGTAGTGGTTTGAAACATTATCAGACAGCTCAGAATAGATAAAAATAGCGATATAGGTGTAGCTATCTTTTACGTTCTTCGCAAAACTGAGTAGAAACCCTATTTCGGTTGTACTGTTAACTGAAATTTACCTCACATTACATACTATTAATGTCCACTTTATTTATTATACATCCTTCCTTTTTAAATACACTCCATCCCCCTCTTATTTTTCTCACAGCGTCATCTCTGTATTTCACGTGAATCATTTTGTTTGTATTACTTAGTTGTAACAGATTTTGTGTGCATTAGATAAGTAAATTTAGTCATTGCTGTATTAGGTACAATTCGCACTTACAGTCAATACACATAAGTCACTGTACTCTACAAAGTTGGTCTTCGTAGTCATATTAGTATTGAAAGTGCTTACTGTAGTTCCTGATTATGAATGAATGGGAGATTCTTCTAATACGAATTGGGGTCTACGAGAATTGAATAGACCCGAAAACCAATGCGTAATACTTCAATGATTATTCCGCGCATGATGGTTTACAAAGAAATCTTTTACAAATAGTTTATAGACAAAGACCCCAGAGGAATTGAATTACATTCACTTATATATATTTGATTTAATAATCACAAAATTTATTAATCTAAGCAATCGTCACTTGAACAGAAACTCACTGTGCATCAATTAATACGACGATGCATTGAAAATAAAGCAAGTTAATTTCATACTAAACAAATCGATAGGACTGTAACACATTTTAAGTCAGTTAGCGGAGTACATTTCAAATCAATTCGCAAATTGTAGAATTGATTTGTTCTTAAATGCAGTATATAGAACTCAACATCCCCAAATACTAGTTTTAGTCTATATACTTGGTATCGTCAAATATAGCATTCCTCAAATCCATTCGGATTAAAAATGTAATATTGCAATTTGTTTATATTAAACTGATTTTTTTCAAAATAAATAAATAAATAGATTCTAGACCTTTATGAGAGATTTAACGTTGTACTGTGCTTTACTTCTCCCTCTTTATATTTTTCTAGACATTTGTTCCACCCGTTTGTCTGTCAAAATAAAACCGTTGACGTTTATTCATCAACAACCAATGCTTGTTAAATATTTAGTTGGCTTAATAATTCCAGCCTAAATGTTCACAGTCATTTGGTAAATCATGCATCGAGTTTCGGATGTTCCGGTCATTCTGTTTAATCCATACTTAACGTGTAATCTTTGCCGAGGCTATTTAATCGATGCCACGACAATTGTTGAGTGTCTACACTCTTTCTGCCGCAGCTGTATCTTGACTTATCTCAAACTGAACACAACATGCCCGGTCTGTGCGACACTTTTGCACAAAACCAAACCACATTGCGCAATTCGGCCTGATCGTGCACTACAGTCCATCGTTTACAAGCTTATACCGAATTTATTTGAAAAGGAAATGCTATGTAGAAGAAAATTTTATGAGGGTGAGTATTTATGTAGTAAATTTTTGCTGAATTTTAAGCAAATTTCGACGTTTCGACTTTGTTGATTAGACGTTTGACCTTATAGTGTGTTACCCTACATATTGTTGGGTATACTTTGGTGCATCATAATTTCTTAGATTGGTTGCGGGTTTTTCCTACATACAAGTGGGGTAGAGTCGTAAAATAATGGAAATAGGAAAAACCTTTTCAAAAAACCTACGTCTTGTATTAATCAATATTTTTATGTTTCTTATTGACAAAATCCAGGTGAAATGAATAGAATTACATAATTATAAACTTACTGTGTTATATATTTTAAGAAAATATTTGTTAGACAATGTGATAGCGCAACACTGATCGATTCCTAATTCATTAATTTCACCACATCATTTTTCATGGCCTGAAAAAATAGTTCAGTCAGTCAGACACAATCAACCTAAAGCCTGGGCCAAATGAGCTTCGGTCAACGTTTTGATATCACATCAACACAGTGAGATGAAATCAACAGGGTAAATCGGCAGTCCCAATTAACGGAAGAACTCAAAAAATTCAAGCTTAACAGTTAAATCAGACTCAGTTAACTAGTAAGTTTTGTGGGAGTGTTTAGTTTCTTTTGAAACGTCAACCAAGTGTCTCACGTTACTAAGGCCTCTCAATCCTAACACAAGTGTATACTGACAGCAACCTGGGTTTTCAATTTGGATCATTTCGTTTTAGCATCATTATTCGTTTACACACTGAAGTGATTTCTACGTTATTCTACTGTTTAGATGTCGTGAACTTGTGGATCCCAATGGTTTGTACCAAACATAACATAGGCGTAAATCTTGACAAAATAGTCCCCCAAACATTAAAAATCCAGAAGTATCTGGCATGTATTTACATCAGTCAGATGTAAGGTAATGCCAAAAAAACAAGTCGATTGGGTGGTTGGATGTGCTGGCCAGTTGATTTATCCATTAAGTTTAATTGACCGGTACGGAAGGTTTGATAAACACTAGTATTCGTAAAATTACGTCGCTAGTGTGTCATCCAAATTTATCTGAGTGTACTGTTTGAATGTTTCTTCTGACGAGCTCTACTGTCATAGACATGAAACTACAAAGTGAGAGTAAATGGATCCGTTCAAAGTTACCTTCAAGACATTGGTTAAGTGTTAGAACTACAAAGGGAGCCATGTCGAAGTTGTAAGTCGTTGAAATTGGACCTAAGGTAGTATATTTTTAGATGGTGGAGATTTGTAGCTCAGGTGGATGATTTTGATGGAGTTTTGTTCTCTGAACTGGATGGTTCGGTGGTGGTTTAAAGTCAAGAAGAACCAATCAACATCGAGGTCTACAAGACAAGCTGTGAACCACATGTGGAGAAATTCGAACACTTCACTTCTACCTGAAGTTTGTGTTGATAATATCGTTCAGAAGAACGATGAAAGATCCACACCCAAACTATCCAGCTCAGAGAACAAAACTCCATCAAAATAAGGTAGTATATTTAGTAAACTGTTATGTCTAATGTTTGTGGATACTCTGTTCATTATTTTGACTCAGCACATTTTTATGTTCAATTTTCTGTGGAAAAGTAGGTTGAAAAGTTTCTAATACTAAGCATACCAAGAACCACAGTGGCCAATCAATGTTAATCTAGGTTCTGAACTTACAATTAGAATTGAATCTATGTAGCTGCCTACCAGCCACTATACATACTGTGGCTAATTTACATCCGATTTCAGCTTTTAAATTATATATATATATTCAGTACAGCTACTCAACTATTTTATGATCGATATGGATAACCTCAACTAAAACTATAAATTCGGGGGTTTAGTATCGAACGTTTTTCCATCTCCATTTCTGTGGGAATTCGATAATATATCGATCAATAAGGTCTTTTATATTTTCCGACACCTCAATGATTCATGTTCTGAATTATGAGATGCTCGTCAATAGCGTTGGTCTATGTAATGTCATGTTTAACTTTATCTGTCATAACTTTAACTTTGCAGATCATCCTTCATGTTACACCCGATCTTTAAGTCCTGAAAAACGTGGTGATTTAACCCTGAATACTTATGTACTCCAAGAAGAAGATCGTTTAAGCGTTGAACTTCGGTACTGGAACCAAAACGAACATAAGAATAATGGTTGCTCAAGTAAAACTTCTAGTCAAACAGATTCAATTAGCCCGATACTGCCTGTTATCCCCCCTACATTTTTACTCTGTCCACCTGAACTTACAGTGGGACATATTGAAAAGCTGATTCGAATGAAGTTCAATCTTAAACCCAGTGAGCATGAGGTTTCTGTTTTCTTTTCAGTCGACGATCTTTTTAATTCTAACTATACACTATCAGATCTTGCCTGCTTGTATGCGTGGCGTCGCCAACAACCTTTTAAGTTGTATTTTACAATAAAAGAAACATCGAGGCATGGATTTTCTGTGTTTATGGAATCGCAACCCCCTTCAACATCGAGTAACCTAACTCATAGTATTCTGGAAAAATCTAAACTATGTCCTCAGAATAATAATTCATCTTGGTCTGTAAACTCCAAATTCAGAAATTTCCCCACAACTTCCCTTCGTAAACGACATGTGAATAACTCTGATGATGAAATGGAAACTACTCCACTTGAAGTCTCTGTGCCAAACTCACAAATCTCATCACAATCATCCTGTAAAATATCACTTCCAACACAGTTCATAAAATCTATAAGCTTATCATCTCCCATGCTCAATACTTCAAGTTCTGTTTGTTCTTCGCTAGCCTAAAATTTAACTTATGTCCTAATATTCCATAACTAGTCATTCGGATTTATACCTCTGATGTTGCTTTATACTTTTGACTCTGATTTTCTGGGTATATTATTGAAATTTTATTTATTCACATGGTTTTTTTGGTCATTGCTTTGTAAAGTCCCGTCAAAATCTGGAATAATATTCCAACTTTTGTCCTAGTTTTGTACTAGGGCTATTGTAAATTGTATATTTATCTTTCTTTATATCATTGTTAAGTTCAGGCCCTTTTTTCTACTTCATACCATAAAAAGATAATTAGTTTTCCGGTTTTTAAAACTTGATACTGTTCTAAAATAATTCCTTTAACGTTTCAGATTCTTTTTCTGGTCTTTTTTTACTGTGGTGTTTGCTATGTGCATTGTTGATCCGTTTTCAGTGTGATACAAATTGTGCGGTCCATGTTCTTGGTTTGCTCAATTTATAAAGCTATATTGAAGTAAATGTGGTGACCGTCTATTTAATGTCTCGTTTAATATAAAAAAAGGCAATTTAGGGTTCGTAGTCAATTCCTGAGAGATATGCAACGTGTATTTTTAAAAATAGGTTTCAGTAAAACAAATATAACATTCTTACTCTTACAGTGAATAGTAACTGTCTTGCAATTTCTTAAATTGTTAGTTTTCTTTTAGTTTATCGTCAATGACATAAGCAGTGCTGCATGCTCCACCTTCTTTGACGCGTATAGTTTGTAAACATTCAGAAAAGATTACTTCCTTGTGACTGAAATACTGATTAATTTAATGCAATAACAGCGATTATCTACGCCGAATGTGCTATACTGAAAAGGTGGTTATTTGACATTGTATTTTCAAATGCTTGACTAAAGATTTTAAACTCAAATCCACGTCGCTTATAGTTTGAAAATACAGGTGATAGTATCACTGTCATACGAAATACTTTACTCAGAGCCTCTATGAATCTGAATAGTTGGTTGTATTATCCTGATTACTTACGATACCTGGTAGTGTTTAATCTTTCAGAATTCTTCTGGAACTGTATTGGTACATCTATGGAATAAGTGCTGCAGAAAGCCTGAAGAATTATTGCATTTATAATTTATGATATTCACTAGTACATCCGTGTATGGTTTGTTGAAAATATTTCGAGTTGGATATCTCCGTTTATCAATCTGATCACAAAGAAAATGATTACCAGATGTAGCTGTCAAAACATTTTCTTGAAAGTTTGAAATGTCAAAGAAATATTATAGACTTGAATAGCTGTTTGGATAATTTTATCTGTATGTCATATGCGCAAATCAAGCAAGATGTTTAACGAAACATTAGGACGAGATAAGTTGAAAGTTATACCGTAGATGGAACCGACTAAAGACAATTATTGATGTTTTTTAACTACAGGGAAATATACTTGACCTGAAATGATCTTTGTTCCTAATAAAGGTATTAATTTCACGGAAATAAGCGAAATAATACACACAAAAACAAGTCTTTGTACAGTTCGCTTTCTTTTAATATGCAATTTAAAATGCAGTCACTTTTTTCATAGCTTAAGTCGACTATGAGCATCTAACTTCAGCTGGACCGAATCTAATTCGTTCAACAGTTTGTTACTATCAAGACACAAGGTATGTAAGCGTACAAGTGAGTCATTCAAATCTAGAATGAAATTATCCAGAATGTAGTCCTAGTGAACTCAGTTTTTATGTAAACTTCAATAAATATAACACCATACTGGGTAAATTCTCTTCTATGTATGCACTTTATTTCTCTCAACAGTTGGACAGGTTTCTAATAGTAAATTGGTATGCGAGCCAGGTTTCTGATTCAATAAATAACAGGTCCAGTGTAAACTCAACCACAACAATTCATTGTGCTATAAATATGCGCGATCATTTAAAAAAACGGGGATATGTAATTGTGTTCCTCCTTTTAGCTTCTTACTGGAAGTTGTTAATGACTGATTTCCACAACGCTCTAGAAGGGATGTCGTGTTACTTTTGGAATGAAAAGTTTTCCATCCTAGTAACTATACGACTTCCGTTGACACTATCTTCGAATTGAGCTCATACATACTTTTTACTTGTAAACTTTTATAATTAGTGAATTATCATACATTTACAGGCATCAAGGCATGGTTTAAATAGGAGCATTTTCCAGACAGTTCTTAAGTGGTCCTTTTCGTGGACCGTTAATGGTTATGTAGTCTGTATACACGAGTAAGTTAGTGGTTATTGATGTCTTTTCATATGCTTGTCATTGGAACTACTCTTAGAACATCAAAAGAGACCAGGAAACAGACATCAGCTAGTATCTCGACTCATTTTTTTTATTATAGTATCAATTATTTAAATAGAGTAATACCCAGCTAGAATATAGACTGGAAGTACACTTTTTTAATTCGACTTCATCCCCGTGAGACTACAGGCAGATGTTATAGTGCCCTGATACCCGAAGGTAAGGTTGTGTGAATTCAGCGCACTAGGTAAATAAAGTCAACCGAATAACCATACTTTGGTTTAAATTTATCATGTATGGGAACATCGGGCTTATCTGATTTGAAAATTCATATCGCTGACAAGACTAACAATATATTCTTAGAAATACATTTTTATGAGCAACGACCTGCATCAGGAAATTACTTAATACCTTTCACTAAGCAAACCAATTATTCTCGAATTAGACTCCTTGACCCCCAATTTCTTTTACTACCACGTTGGTAGCTATCGTGACAATTTTCCTCACTGTGCTGATCGATGTAATCTTGTGATTTATACGGATGTGAGTGTATGCTGTGTCCTACGATACTACTTATAACTGACTGCTGAATTTAGGGGCGAAAAAGTGAATTCAAATTGAACAAAACAAAATAAGTATAATTAATCAATTGATACCGTTCAAGTTTATTTCCTTTTTAGGTACTATCCTATTATCTTTCAAGATATAAAATAAAACGGGAAACTCCAATATAGCACAATTTATCTGAGCACTAAGTGAAGTACAAATTGGAAAGATAACCAAAGTTATTGAAAAAATAAATTACGAAAATCTTGTAACTAGGAAATTCAAGCACATGTTGTGAAACAATAATATATAAAAGAACAAGAAACAATCAAACAAAGGGCATCTAAATATATGAGTATTACTAACTCAATCCTTTTATATATAGACATTTAAGTCGAGCAAACCTCAGACTATTTTAAGAGATAACAAAAAAGTATAACTTTATCTATTCAAATAGAAAATTCCTGGTAGAGGATGGTTGAACATTTAAATGAGAAAGGATATAGATTTGAAAAAATATATATATCAGCAGTTAATTATATGAGAAAAATAAAGTGAGACTCTAGATCGTTTGTTTTTTTTTAATTTTCCAACAAGCAACAGTGGAAAAGTAACAAAAATAGTGAAAGATCAAACGGCAAAAAACAAACAAACAAAATTGAATAGTACAAGAAATCTTCCTAGTAAATAGGTGAATATTCTATCAATTTAGGAGCCCATTGAGTTAGTAATTTATTCCATTTATTAGAAAATAGACTTTGGCAAAGACTTCGATCACGTTCATCAGACCAACCACCATTAACTCGTTGTTTAAGATTTTCAGTATGTATTTTTTCTGATAAATGTAGAGATGTCGGATATAATTTGGTCAATAATGGTCCATTAAACATGTGTAAAATATTTATTGCCAATGATTCTGTTGAGCAAATATTTTTCTGATGATGAATACCTCGGCTAATAAAGTAATTAAAAATAATAGTGATACATTTAAATAATGCTAAAAGTTTAATTTATTTCTATGAAGTTGGTATACCGTAGAACGTTTTAATTCATAATAAAATTTGATCATGAATGAAACTATCTCAAGATGAATATTTCGAAAAAGCATAAGTTACTGGTAAACCAACATGATATATTGTACAATAAAAAGAGGATTACTGATAGTTTTATATTATACACCCCATGAATTATGAAATTGTACTTATATACTATACTAATGAAATCAAAAGTAACACAAAAAGTGGAGTAGGGTCAAGAAAATTCTACACTAAATTCATAAATATACTGAAGTGTTTATATATTGAAGTAGTGGAATTGACAATTGTTGCATTTGCCTCCTATTATAATAATTGTACGTATGTGGGTTATTAAGTAAGCCAACTAACTGGTAATTGGTTTTTAACTGACACATTGCAGTCAATGCATGCTAACAATTTCTTACTGCGTAATGAGCATACACCTTTCTATCACACAAACATTGGGTAACACAAACTGGCCACGCGTATATAGCCTCTGCAAGGGAAGTCCTACTCAATGCCTTCTCGTGGTGGCGGTGTTGTTTACCAAATTGAGAGGACGAAAAGCGAACGTCCGGCGCTTTAACCGGGTTGGTGGACATGGAGGGTTCATCTAGGGGAGTTGGGAAACTCTGATTCCAAACCGATGGTGAACATGGGCTCCAGTATCCTGAAGGAACAAATGGCGTATGAACCAGTCGTTGATCACCGGCTACCATGAGACTGCATCTCCTTACGCTGCTCCACTACTTTGTGGATGAGACCTTCAGGTTGAAGGCTCTGAGTGTCCCCCCCTAAGAAAACCACCTGCTTCGGTTTGGGCACCCGGGCAGTATCACAGCCCTTACACACATCAAATGAGATTTGTCTGGCGCATATGTATTTGATGCCTCCTTGTACTAATATCTATGTGTTAAAATAAATAAAACACCAACTACAGAAAGCAGAGATTTAAGTGGAATGCTGGATTTTGTTAAGACAGATCATAGTATATGTCCAGAAGTTGAAGATTGAGGTTTATTATGGTATGAGTGAGTGGTTGCTTACATGTGTAAATTTTTTACGAACAGTTCTGAATCCATTAGATGAAATTCGATCATTAGACAGTCGACTGTTTAGTATACATTTTCAGCTTATGGTGAAGATTTCCGATTGCATCCTTTCTTATGGTAGGGGATATTGGTGCTCGGGTGACTTCTTTATATTGCTGTTGAGTTCTCTGAGCTAAACGGTTTAATTGCAGAGCTTTTACTGTCTTTCTGCATAAAATGAGCGATTACTTCATGCAGGAGTGATTTATTCGAAAAAGAACAACCAACAAAATGGTCAGAAGCTAACGAAACAAAACATTCAACTTGAATACCAAGACAAGTAAAGACGACGAAGAAAACCAATCACGAATAATGCTGCTAGAACAAACTTATTTAACACTTTTGGAATAACTGAGAAGCTCAATTCTGCATGAAATAGGCACTGATGATGCTCAGAACAACAGTGAAAGCTTAATAATTTAACTGTCTACCTCAGAACATCAAAAGTATTGAGTCTCTTTTGTCAACAGAATATATAATATTTTCGGTTGAATAATTCACATAACTGAAAATAAATATACCCAGCTACTGATATGAAAACTAGTGCTGAATCACTGTTGAAGCAAAATTTCTTTCTATGCAAATATATTACATAAGATTAACTATTATTTCAAAGCAACAGTACACAACAATTCGCTTTTATAAAGTATAAAAGAGACAACTATGCCATTTAGTATGATGAACTTTTATTTTCCCGAAAAAGATTTTCATATTTAACACACTACTGAACTCATAAATAATCAGGTTGATTATAACTAATGTACGGTCTAGAATAAATATGCATTAGCCAAAATTATCAAATCACATTAAAACAATATGATAAAATTGATGTTAAAAGAGCCAAAATAATGTAGTATCTATGTGAATTACTAAATGTTATGACTATAATTCGATAAAGTATGTATAAAGGAATATTGAAACTTAAGATCTAGAGTAAGATAAATAGTGAATGTATTCACTCTACTGTATAGGATTTTGAGTTATGTTGCCCAAAATCTCCAACCATTGATCACGGTGATTGATTAGACACCAATCAAGTAGTTTACACCTAACAAAAAATAAGATCCGAATAACAATCAATTATTTCGTGGACTGATATCACGTATCAACTTGATCATCTGCAGCTATTTTCCAACTTACTTCTACTTCAATCAACACTACACATGTCAAGGTTACCAGTGATTAAGTATATTTAATCAGTTGCTACTTAGATATATGGATCATTATTATTGTGAATAAAATTCATTTCTATATGAATATTTACAATTCTGTTTATATAATTTTAGTTTGCATATTAACAATTTCATGTAATTTAATTTCTAATTCTTATCAAAATAATTGTCTCATTTAAATAGACTCAGTGTAACATAACTTCTATTTGAACTTCAAACAATAGTTGTCTGGTCTATTAATCCATATATATATTCAAATGTTCTAATACTTTATGCGGTAAATTTATGTATGTATTGTTTATTCTTTATTTAAAAAAAAAGTAATTCTGCCATCAAATCGAAACTAGTAACTGGTTGATTGATGTTAGCAGTGGAATAGTTACTTACCAATAAAACCGTATTATAATGTCAGTAAATAAGAAAATTAAATTCTTCAAGTTTGATGTAAATCGATTATGTCAGATGATAAATAACTACTTTTGTACGTTAACACAGTTTTAGTAGTAGCATGAATGATTCACATTAAATATTTAGTACATACAAACAAGTTAAACCACATGTTTATCAACCTCTTGTGATAGTCATAAAGGATTGATGTAGTGTTTAAAGCATTAAACTTAATAAACATTTAATGGTTAAACAGGGGCTCATGAAAAGAAAACTCGAGAAAATCAGGCCAGTTTCAAACCAGAACGTGGCTGTACAGATTAAATATTCGCGCTTCTTCAGGTTATAAAACACAGGCATAATTACCAATATCCAATAATAGTGATATTTATTAACTTGAAAATAACTTTCGAATTCGACAGTAAAAAGGTTTTTATCGTTAAAAGGTGTACCAATGAAGTAGATAAACTTTATCAAGCCTCTTTATTCTAACATTAATTACTAAGTAGGAACGTATGCAGAACTGCCATCTGGATTTATAATTTCTAGTGGTGTTCGTCAGAACTACCTTTTATTCACACTTTTTACTTAATTTCATGATAGAAATACTGTTAAAAGTAACATTTTCTTCAGCTGAATATTCCGAAAATGATCTCCTAACGAGAGGTTTAGTTATCGACCTGCAATACTGTTATGGTTATTTTTAATGATTAGACTAGACGACATTTACGATTATTAAAATCACTGAATACAATGCCAATTGATAGATGGACACAACAATAAGATGCAACCGAAGGATGGCTATTCACAAGACCGTATTGTTGACTAAAGCCCTCGAATTATCAGATATCAAAGACGAGACAACTAACCAGACGACTTTCGTCTTTGGGTCAAAAACAACCTAGTTATGCTCACAATACAAACAAAGTATTCAAGACCAAATATCGTAGACGATTGGAGGAAATTAGGTAGTAGGTCATTCAATCCCCAATAAATTAGATGTGACTGTTAGGCCTAACTTTTAGACATCGCATGAAATACGCGGATGACATAATCCTATTCAGTGAATATTCTGAAATAATGTACAAGCCTTCTGATTCAACCATTCTTGCGAAACGTTTTCCTTCTTTGAAATGCGAAATGATGCTTGAAGAATGGTCTGCATCATCGACTATATGGATCGTAGAGAGCACATGTTATCTTGGGAGTCTTATCATCCCTGGTAGGCTGACTTCCGAAGAAATCTCGGCGTAGGCTCAGAAAAGCCATATGGCTTTCCCAACTAGAATCATCTGTGGCATAGTTGAGATGACCGCCTGCCAACGAAGAGAGTAAAACACCCCTATTTCACCTTATGGCTATTGAACGTGGCCTTTGAAAACAAAAAGCATTCGTAGGTTAGTAGTATTTAATTATACGTGTCTTTCAAGTGTTCCTCATGTATGTTGGAACTATTAAGTGTGAAAAGCTGAGGTTAGACGCAAGATGCAATTAAAATGTGGTAAAGCTGTTGTTCAATTTATGAATCTTCACTAACTGAGGTGGTTGGAACATGTATTACATAAGCCCAGCAACTGTTTACCTCGTCTTCCGATGTTCGCTGAGACAAGAGTAGGTTGTTCATTCACTTATTTTATACCTTTCAATCAATCAATCAATCCAAAAACTGATTCATTCTTCTTGGGTCGTATTCCCTTTGCTTAGTGCTCTCTACTATCACTGATATTACTAATACTTTAGCATTCATTTCGATAACTTCGTCTCTTTATACCAACATAGACAGATATACATGCGTCAGATTCTATTCTGCTTACGAGTGATTGATTCTCACTTAAATCAAAGGTGAGCGGTTTTTGTGTATTTATATGGATTGGTGTGAATAACCGTGACATCTATAATAACGTGACTAAATATCAAAAACAAGATAATTGAAAATTTCTACTCGAACAAGTAACACGCCTAAAGATATTTTAGTAAAAGTGTGAGGTCAATGTTCACTATATTTGAGTTTTCAAGCGTGATTTCCAATCGGAATTTCATTTCAGTAATTTTAAATTATCTACATGTGTCTTTTCTGAACAGGCCGTTATATCGCATTTCAAATTACCGAATGAAAAAAAGCAAATAAAGTGAAGATTAAATCCTCGATGAAAAATATGCTGTCACATGCAACACTCACTTATTAAGTGAATGGAACAACCCTCAAAAATGCTTGATACTCCGCACACATTAAACACTAAAAACCGGATGTGCTGAGAATTCATGGATACGTACACATATCCTATCTCATGCATATATATATATATATATATATATATATATATATATATATATATATATATAAATTAATAACGAAAAGTACTGTTGCAAAACATTACTACTAACCATTCACCCAAATGAAAGACACGAGTAGAAAGAGGTAGAGTCAAGGCCTTCAGTTTGCCTGGGAAACAATTTTGACCAATATACTGTAGACTCCAGTCCCAATTATAATCATCATAAAGACAGAATAACTGCAAAAGAAAAAAAAACATAAATGAGTTATTAAGCTCAGCACAGGTAATTTGACACATTTAAAAAAACAATACCTGTAAACCTAATAAATCACAAATCATACTGTTGGGGTGTTAACATTTTATTAAAGGAAAATTTTACTAAAATATAATATCAATTTCTTAGAGAATTGTTCAGCACTGTATTAGTAGGGTTTAAATATTTATTCATTTTATTTGTTCATCATACGGAAAAAATCTATAAGATAGGTTAAACTCATATTGATCAAGTCACAAATAACAATAAATTGATGTAGTTAGGTAACATACCAAGTGCATTTACAAAAATAAGACAATCTAAGTCAACTTTACAACTCTCGGAAAATAATCAATAAAGTAGTCACTGAGACAGTACAAGTTAACAATCATAATTATACGTGTCTTTAATCTTACTTCTTAAAAAAAAGTTAAGGTGACAAACCTTTGAAGTATGATTAAAGATTTGGTATTTTTAACTGCTTACAGTAAAACTAAGAATTTACAAATAAACACTAATAGAGTTAAAAGGGTCACCATTATAATGTACTTACTTCAGTTTGTTAAGAGATTACTACTTTATTACTGATACGGTTATTCTTTAACATTTTGTAAAGAATAAGTTAGAAAAAAGCTAATATGTGTAGGCTGATGATGAATGTTTAAAACTATATCAGTAAGTGAATTGCTATAACGGGGTAAATATTAATGAAAGCTGGACTTTCAGAACTGTTCTATCTAAAATTATTGTATCTTTGTTGTATTCTCTTATTTATAAGCTTTCATTGGACGCATAAACTACTGTTTTATGTATTTTATCTTTCTCAAATTATTGTCAATTAATTATGTACCTATCACATAGCTGTCTTTCATTTTTTGACGTAGTTATTGCCTATAATGTAATATTTCGTAATTATAATTGATCCGTCGATTGGAATCCTCAAGGCTAAAGGTGGAGAGGAAGACCAAAGAACAAATTACGCCGAGAAATAGAGAGGGATATGAGAAGAATGAACAAAAAATTGATAGAACTAGAAAGGAAGGCTCAAGAAAGAGTGGGTTGGTCTATGCTCCACTGGGTGTAACAAGCGTAATTTAGTAATGATTGATCCGGGATTAAGATTTTACTCGATATTATTTTTATGAGATGGGTCATGGAGTTAAACTATATATAATTAAGAGTTATCGATTTACTGTGTTATGTCCTATTCTATCTATCATGTGAACAAGCATGAGAGGATAATATTCTGGACAATAATCAAAGATTATTAATTACAAAAATAACCAATAAGTAATTTTTATTTATTTATTTATCCTCAATTATTATTCATTTATGAAAGTGTAAACTATTAATCAATCAACAATAATAGATTTATTAAAAATATTGAACATTATTAAAATAAAACAATTTACAATGGTTGACCATGGTTACATAAAACTATTTTTAAACATCTATGAGAAATTTTAACAGCTTAAAATCCATTACTATGTAAATTATACGATAAAATAATTAGTATGAGAAGGGGTTTTTGTGGATATTATAGTAACTTCAATAGTTGAGATCATGAGTCAATTAAAGCTAGACCACCATGGAAAACCTGGAAGCACTGAGCGGCCATTTCGTCCTATTGTGGGACTCTTCAGCAATGATCTAGAGGTAAAGTATTCGCGTGCGAGACCGATAGGTCTTAGATTCGGATCTCGCGAGGCAGGATCGTGAATACGCACTGTTGAGAAGTCCCACAATAGGATGAAACGGACGTCCAGTATTTCCAGGTTTTCCATGATGGTCTAGGTTCAATTGACGCATGATCTGAACTATTAAAAATGCTTAAATGAAAAATCATTTTCTTTTTGTTAATTTTCCAAGTCATTAATTTTAAGGTACAATATGTTTTACTGTAATTAAAAAACTTGTAGTTATTAACAAGAAATTTATCATTATTATAACCAATGAATAGTTCATAATTTATTCCATTTTCTTTAAGATAACACACAAAGTTAAATGTTTCAATTGACAGAGAAATTTATATGCAAATAAAGTTTAATAAATTCATTCTTGTTAGGATGATTGAAAAATCAAAAAAAAGAAGAAAAGAAACAAAACCCATATCACTGTGACGATCAATTTTTTTTCATCTCTCTATTTTTATAATATGGATCAATAAGAAAATCGATTCGAATTTTTATTGTAACAGCTATTAACAATTAATATGATATGGTGCTCGAACAGAATCAAGGCTATGGTTTTTTTTCTATGATTTTATATTTTATTACAAAATAATTGAACTGTCTCAGAAAATCTTGTTTTATATTAAAATTTAACAACCAATTGGAACTATTTATATTATAGTGATATTAACTAATCAGATTACAACAATTCATTCAGTATTTAACAGTCAGTTAAACAAATAAAATGCCCCCAAATACCCTGGTACGAATGACAGTGGGGAAAGTCCACTCTCCCACGTCGTTTAGATAATTTTAAATTACAAATACAGGAATGCTTAGCTTAAAACCAGAAAGAGAAATCTTTGAATAAATTCGATAGTGACCGTGTATATTTATTAAAAATACATATTTCTAAAAGTAAGGTATGTAAATACATTGATGTCACCTAAAACGATAAAATGTCCTATTATCAATATTTTACATAACTCACATTCAAGCATTGTTCAATATTTTTCCATACAGTACGAGATACAGCCATACCCATATTGTGTTTCGGCGCAAGCCAGTAAGTTTGTTCAACCTAGAAAAATAAAAACAAACACCAATGTAATTTACATGCTTACGTGATTAGTGTAATGTTGGAGTTGATAATACTTGAAAGTATCAAACAGGGTTTAGTACTGTAGATACTATGACATCTACACCACTAATACTTTAAAACAGTGGAAAAGGAGTTTCAATAGTGGGATTTTGATCAATGTTAGACCATCCTTGAAGACCTGGAAGCACTGGATGGCCATTTTGTCCTAGTGCGGGACTCCCCAACAGTGCGCATCCACTGAGCCGCCGTCCAACGATTTGATGGCAGTAATCTTCTCGAATCTTCAGAAAAGGGTTTAAATATCATAAAGTTTGAGAGATCCATGATGAAGTTAATCAACTTGGGAAAAAATCGCTAAAAATCATCGATAGCCTATATGGCGATAAACTACAGAACTAATGCTGTTTAATTTGCCAAGGAATATATACAAACAGAAAAAAATTTGTTGCCTTATTTGCATTAAGTGAATTAAAGACTATGTGACTGCTTTTGGAAGTTGTGTTTTTTTAATTGAGTGGCTTAATCGTGAAGCAAGCAGACTCAAAGATGAAGTCTTGTTTCCTGAAAGAAGAAAGGTGCTGACGAGATCCAAAGTATTACTCGGAATGTTCAGAGGGAACCTGAAAACACAGGGAAGTACTTTACCCAGTCGGTTTTGAGTAGAAGTTTCTCAGAAACATCTAGAAAGTGACGTCATATTTCTGACTGCATGATTACCAGCGCTTATACTATATTTAGTATGGTCCCTGAACCTCCCAAAGCCATCTGAAATACTATAAATACCCTCGACTTCGTGTACATGAAGTAACCTTGGAGTAAAGCGTCCCTTTTACACTTCGCACCTTTTCTTTCATGCTCAAGTTGTCGTGTAGATTCAGCCTAGGGTTATTACAAGAGCTTAGTAAGCCGATTCAACCGTTCAGTTAGAAGACTTATCACGAACAACTGAAAGTGTATAGTAAACATTAAAAAATAACACGATCATTGAGAAAATGGTCGCAAGTTTACAACTACTATGAAAAGCGTGGAGAGAATTCATGGCATTAATTACATTCATGAACAGATTTGTAAAGAAATAGAGTGGCTAACGATTTAGTGAATTCTAATATTAATACAAACTAATTTAATACCTGGCCTATATGTAACCAAAGAATACTGAAACAAATAGACTAGTTAAAAGCTGATATCCATACCGTTAGTTCAAGTGATTATAAATGTTACCCTTATCTCCGTTAGTACACACAGTACAGTCAAGTGTGAATACTACAGTCGACAGTGTACATATAAGTGATCGCTTATACTTATATATATCCCATTTTCCTAATATTTGGTATAGATTTTGTAAACCATTGTGAAGTGATAATGTTTTAGGGATAATAAAATGTTTAATTTGGACAATAAACTTATGGTAACTGCTACTGAAACTCCACTTGAGGCCATTCTAGGGTTACTACCGATCCCAAGTTAGGATAAAAGAGGAGGGTCGGGCATAGAGTTAGCAAAAACGTTGCTTCAATGCTAAGCAGAAAAATATTATTTCAAGCATTTAAACAATGCCCTGAGAGTTGAAGGATCTTCATTTAAGGGTTATGATACCTAATGATGAAAGCCGAAGGTTGTTTTGGAAATTACGAATGTCATCCAGTGCATTGTGCCCACTCATGATAGCAACGAAGACGATAAAGATCAGTTTTGTGAGGCTGCAGTCGATCGTAGAGAAACACCCGGGAAAGAAACTGACCAACCTGACCGGAAACCTAAACGCCAAAGTCGAAATGGACAACAATAGGTATGAAGATATCATGGGACGACATGGACTGGGAGAAAGGAACGGGAATGGCAAGAGATTTGGAAATTCATGTGCCTTCAACAAAATGGTTATAGATAGCACTATGCTCACCCACAAACGCATACAAAAAGCTACAAGGGTTTCATCAGGACACACTACAGAGAACTAGATCGATCACATTCACATCAATAAAAAGTTCAAAAGGTCAACGAAAGACAGTGAGAGCAAAGATAGAAGCTGATGTAATTTCAAATCACCATCTGCTAGTTCCAAGCCTCACAAGATTTACTCAGAGAAGAGGAAACTACTACGAAGAACAACTGGGAATGGATTGGAGAAGCACTAACTTCAACACGCCAGGTGTGAGGCCGCAAGAAGCATTATCATACGGGATATATCTCTATTCAAAACATGAGAATGATTCAAGAAACGAAGAACAAGAAAACGGCAACTAACAAAAGCCGAACAACAACAGAGGAAGTCAAGGCACAAGCTGAATACATGGAAGTAAACAAGCATGTGAAGAAGAGCATTAGAACTGACAAGTTGAAATAGATCGAAGGCCTAGCAACGATAGTGAAAAAAGCTACAAGAGAAGAAAATATGAAACAAATATATGACACAACGAAGAAACTGGCAGGGAAATATAATAAACTAGAGATATCAGTCAAAGACAGGGGTTGAAAACCAGTCACCGAGATTCTAGGACAGAGGAACAGATAGGTAGAACAATTTAAGGAACTCTTGACTAGATCATATTCATTGAATCCACTAGACATTGATGTAGCACCTACAGGCATTCAGACAAATCAAGAGTGGGGAAGCAACATGAGCTGACAATATGCTAGCTGAAGCACTGAAGTCAGACGTAGAAGTAACTGCAAAGATGCTGCACGTTCTATACAGGAAGATTTGGGAGGAAGAATAAGTACTGACAGACTGGAAGGAGAGATAAGTCACCAAGATACCAAAGAAAGATCTTAGTAAATGTAAGGACTAAATAGATATCACACTACTATCAGAATCAGGTAGTTTTCAACAGTGTCGCCAAACCAAATGAAAGATTTAGTAGACACCCAACTTCGAGACCAACTGACTGGGATTCATAAGAACCGATCACGTTCAGGCCAAATCGCTACAATTTAGTTTATTGTTGAGCAGTCATTTGAATGAAAATCGTCACCAAACATCAATTCCCTTAACTATGGGAAAGCATTTGACAACGTGGATAAAAAGGCCTAATGGGACCTTCCTCGACACTATGGGGTATCCGAGAAAACTGTCAATATCATACGGAATTCTTATGATGGACTACACTGCAAAGTCGTGAATGTAAGACAGCAATACACATGCATTTCAAGTGTAGGATAAGCCTGCTTACTCTCACTCTTTCCCTTTCTTCTGGTGGCTGACTGGATTATGAAGACCTCTATATCTCAGGGGAAGCACGGAATACAATGAACAGCTTGGATGCAGCTAGAGGATATGGACTTCGCAAACGACCTAGCCCTTGTATCCCACACACAACAAACAGTGCACAAGATTATGATACCCAGTTCAGCAGAAGCCTGTGCAACAGTAAACCTACACATTCACAACGGAAAAAAGATACTAAAATAAAGCACAGACAGCACCAACCAGATCACTGTTGATGGGGAAATTCTGAAAGTGGAAAGTTTTACGTAGCTAAGCAGTGTTCTTGACAAAATAGGGAAATCAGATGCAGATGTGAAGGTACAGATTGGAAAAGCAAAAGAACAATCCCTATGATTGAAAAACATCTGGAAATCAAAACACCGGTCAGTCAACATCAAAGTCAGAACTTTCAATACAAACGTCATGACAGTACGAGTGTACGGTGCTAAGATGTGGAGAACTACTACAGACATCATCGAAAAGGACAGGTATTTATAAATAGTTGTCCACAAAAAAATGCTCCAGATCAGTTAGTCAGACAATCAGAAGTAAACTACTCTGACAGAGAATAAACAAGCTTCCAACTGAGTAAGAAACTAAGAAACGATGCTGGAGGTGGATAATTCATCAAAGAGCATCACAACACAAGGCTTAACTTGGAATTATCAAGACTAAAGGGAAAGATAGACAAAAGAATACATTGAGCGGAGAATCAGAGGCGGATATCAAAAGGACAAATACTACTTGAGAACAACTAAAATACAGAACCCAGAACAGAGTAGGCGGGAAACTTGATCAGTGGCCTATGCTCCACGAGAGGTAACTTGGATAACTAAGTACGTAACTGTTAATCAACCACCGCATAATTTTGCGCGCAGTGCTGGCTAATGTAGAAGTAAACTGGAAGAGCGCTAGGAGCGGCCAAACTATCAGTTGATGAATTCACTGAATGGTGATCTGAGCCATGTTAGTAAGTGCAAGCTACCCAGTTAGTACTAACGAAACTGTCGTGACCAGTGGTTAGAGACATTGAGTGACATGGCTTACAATCAGGTGTAATGGTATAGATGCATTCATTCTGTTTTTTTAATTTTAAAATTATTCTATACCCTGTAATCTGTAAATTCGTTCATTATTCTCGAATCACGTAGCTTATGTCTAATCTTTTCGATACTATTGATCCCTTCGTCTCATACAAAGACAACACAGAACATTAGGGGTCTATTCCAAAAATAAAAGTAAAAAAACTTATTAATATTATTGCCAGAAAAAATCAGCTTATCAAATTAGATGGTTATTTAAAAGAAAGGGAAATAAAACATCGAAATAGATACCTTACTTACCACATTGGATAAATACATGTTATTTTTATCGTATGATCCAAAGGCAATAATCCCATCAGTTTTTAAAGGACTTTGTAATAGAAATAAACACAATAAAATATGATCAATCATTTTACAGACAATTCTGTCTATTGAATATAATAACATAAATAACGTACATATGCTTGACAAAAATATTTAATAATGACGAATAAGTATATCGGACAGAAAAACACATGAGAATGTGGAACGATGGCATCATAGTTAAAGTGTTCAGTTATCAGCCAATAAGTCCTAACTTCGAACCTTACTCCATTAACTTCAGTCTATGTTATCAAGTAGGACCATTTGCTCTCATAATTACAATGTGGTTTGTATCTAAGTAGCTGGTGAATGAGTACAAACAAAGTGGGAATAAAACAGACCATATGATATTATGTTAGTATTTATTGTTTCGAATGAAAATTATTTATTTGACAATAAGGTTTATGTACAGTAAATTTTTTTTAGTTACATACGTCCATTTTATTCCTGAAAATTAAAGCAAGTGTGATGTATGCTACTTATGTCTGTCGACATAGGTAGTATATAACACCAATCAGAAGTGGAATGCCTGGCAGCAGGAGGTTGGGAAGATAGAATCCAAGAGAACGGGAACAGAGTAATTGTAATAGCAATGAAGGAACGATGAAGTTTGAGACAACGGATGGAGGATTTGCAAATAAAGTATTGAATGTATGGTTTTCACATTTTACGAAAGAACTCTGTAATTTTGCATTAAATAACAAATTGGTTGTCCCCACATGTGTTCGTTCATTGATGCCCCTGCCAACCAGGAGGCGGAGAGGTTGCAGTTCTGTGGACGTCGTCGTCGGGCCTGGAGAGAAGGCACTAGTTGGGGCTATCTGGTGCAGAAAGGTGGCGTCGAGTGTTCGGGGGGGGGCGGTGTTGGCCGTCATTGCAGAGGAGCAATGGGACGTGTGGCTGTTGGGAGGACACCGGATGTAGACGGCTCAGTGGGTCGCTGGGGTGCAGATGTTAGACGTCCCGGGTGCTGGGCGGATATCAGGTTTAGATTGCCCGGCGACTCGACATTGCTACGGAGGGCAGCGCGCCGACGGACTTATGTTGACAGAAATAAGTAGCACATAATACCAACTAGAATTGGAAAACCTGGCAGCAGAGGGCTAAGAAGATCGAGGTGACGAAAACAGAAAGGAATTGTGAATTGGAAGAATCATACAGAATATAGACAGTTGATGGAAGATTTGCAAATGAAGTATTTAATGTATGGTTCTCATATTTTATCAAGATATTCTGTAATTTTGTATTAAACAATAAATTGTCTGTCCACACCCCAATCTCATCCATTATACAAGAACAGAGTGCACGTTCATGTACTTAATAACTGTGAAGTTGATCAATACATCATAAATGAATGATAGCAATCAATTAATTTAGATTATATTATTTCCAATCCCAGAGAACAATGAGTATCGTGTTGGTTAATAACATTAGGATACTCATATCTCTACGTTAATAAAGTATATATATAATGTATCATTGAGAAGTATGGAGAATTTAATAGCTGTTTGATATTAATATGGAACCATTCAGTAGTGTGCAGGTAAAACCCTAGGACCTTCGGGTTCCACACTGAACGTCGAAATCACTAGAACTACTGGATTAGAGTCCGACGGTACAATCCCAAATGCAACCAATTTGTGCAACGACCATTGAATGTTATTAGTGACAAATGTTTCGCTACCGACTTGTCTGAACTCTACTCGTCAAAATTTCTCACCAGAAGAATCCCGAGAACGCCATGAAGTCACTAAGGAGTTGATCATAGTCTTCGCAGTATAGGATTGTGGAGGTTGTTGGATTTCACTGGAACCACGAGCCGAAATAAGTTAGACAATCGCTGAAAAACTGAAAGCACAGAACGGTCGTCTCATCCTAATATGAGGCTCTTTAGCAGTGCATATCCACAACCGCGCCATCAGAGACCGAACTCAGGACTTTCGGCCTCAAACGAAAATCCTTGGGAAGTGGAGCTAAAGTGTGTCGGGCTTGAAGAAGGAACTCACCGAACACCATAGAAGATGGTCACGCAATATCGTGAATTGATTGAAGTTGGGCTTGTATACCAATGGATCTTAGCTCAGTGGTCTAGAGGTTAAGGGTTCGAAGGCCCTGAGTTCGGTTCCCGTCTGTATGGTCACGGATGTGCATTGCTCAGGGTTAACACAGCAGGAAAAAGCGGTCACCCAGAGCCTCCAGGTCTTCAATAATTAACATAGGTCGGTTCACGACTTCAATTACTATTATGGTTTTAGTTGAAAGGTTTTTCTAGTGACTTGTTTAATTTACAGTTAGTGTTTTGAACCATACTTGAAAAAAATGGAAATTTTATTTTACTTTCATAATGATAATTAATTCCTTCCTTATTTTATTACGTTTTCTAAACAATAGGCATTTATTAGTATAAAATAAAATGAAACAGTTAAGTTTGCAATACGATCAGAAAATATGAAAACTATGCCTAGTTAATATTTTTATCGTTTGACTTCAACGATCAAATATATATATCATATAGGATTTAATTCCGAAAGACTCTGTAAACATTAAATACAAAAAATTCTATAAGAGAACCGTTGAAAAAGAGAACATTAAAAACCACAATTTAATCTTCTTTTTACAATAAACTAACCAAAATATGAACTCATCAACAAAGAAATGATAAGGTTGCTCTTGTTGTAATTTGCATACATTTTTTGAAGTGTATATCTGAGTTCGCGTGAAAATATGTACTGTCTTCATTTCACCTGCATACACAGTGGAGTGTTACGTAATTAGTGAAGAACAGTCATTCATCGTCATCATTATATGCAATGTAGAGCCTGACACATGTGCTTCACTTCAAGTTGTCATATCACATTAAGACGAGATGAAATTACTTCAAAACAAATTCCACAGAAGTAGAAGTAGTAACAGTATCAGCAGTAGTAAAAGATCAGACATGGAAAAAGAAAGGTTTTAGCGGGACATAGATTGGATTTAAGCATGCTCAATGCACGATTGATTTGGTACTTGGAGAACACTCTAGAAATCTCATGTAAAAACTATAAATATACTAACGTTTTCCCTATTGTGCTTCTTACTCCCATCTAACCTTGTTATTTGGAATATCTCTTTCCTGCTCAACCGTGTTCTGATTTGGGGACTTGTCGTGTGAATTGGTGTCCGAGAATACTAAGCAGTAGGAATAGCTGGGTTGTAATAAGAGAAAATCATAACAAAAGGTAAAAGAAAGATTTTGAGACTCAGGTTCTAGAGGAAGACAAGAAGTGAATGCACTGGCACCCTTGCAAACGATTTTGAAGCATGTCGCCTAAAGTCTCTAACCATTGGTTACAATAATAACATGGAACCCAATCAGGTAGCTTATACCCACATACATGGCTCAGTCCAATTGTCGATAAGTTGATGGACTGGTGCAACGTCTTGGTTTTACCGCTCCTAGTTTTCTTCTAACCTACTCCTATGGTAAAACAACATCGCCCGTTGAGGTAGCCAATAGTTAGGCATACGCAACCACATAGCCTAACCACCTCAGTTGATAAAGATTACCGCATCAACTGACTTGCCATCTTTACCTAATACTCTATTCCCAACTTCGGCATCACTTATTCGATAGTCCAAAAACACATGAGCAATCCTTCGAAGACACTTACAGTCGAATACTATTAACCTGTGAATGTCTTCTATCTTTAATGACCGCATTTCACACCCATAAAGTAGGATAGAGTGAAGTGCTGAGCAGTAAACGCGTCCTTTGGTTGGTAAAAGGATATGTCAGATACGCCACCAGTGACAGTTCAATAAACAGAGATCGAGCTTTACAAATCTGTGTCAACATTTCACGAGCCTATCAGGAGTGATAAGACTCCCAATATAAGTGAAGCAATCGGTAGACTCAACTAATTCACTCTCTATAAACAATTCGGGCCCTGATGCAAGTCAGTGCCAAAGAAACACTATGCATTTCAATGAAGGGAATTGCGTTCCAAACAAGCTGACATTGTTGTTTACGGTTGTCAAAAGACTGCATTTTGTCAGTGTCTTCATCAAAAAGAACTATATCATCTGCGTACTGCAAGCCAACAACAGAAATTTTGGTTGTCAAAATCGATGAATAGAATGCTAATTGACAGATAAACCATATGATACAATGGAACCAAGAGGTGGCTACTCACGAGACCGTATAATTGACTAAGGCCCTTGAGTAATTGGAAATCAAAGACAAGACCACAAACCAGATGAATAATTTTTCAGGTAATAAAATGACATATTTATATACAAAGCATGAACACAGAATAAACATAATGTCTTAGGCGATTGGAGGAAATTAACTTATAGGTCGATCACTCTACAACTAATAAAGACTTGAACATCGTATCAGTTATCACTAAAAACTTTTTTACGACAAACTTTTTAAAAATGACGAAAGTGGACAACCCTGAAGAACACCACATGAAGTTATCGATTCCAAAGGTGACTCTGATTAGACAACTAGTGTTCAACTAGAGATCCTGTACATGGTTGATGTACTTCATTAGTAAGCCTCTTAGAGACAGACAATGATATAGAACCTTACGATCAACAGAGTCGAATGCTATCTTAAGATCAAGAAAGACAACTATTGTCGGACGTCAAAAAATATATCTAAGTCCAGGACCTATCGAAGACTGAATATTTAGTCTATAGATCCACGTTCAGGTCTGAAAACAGCCTAAGTTGTTTTTTTTTTCTATTTTACTGTTTACAAGCTCTCGTTAAGCGTTGACGTGTTATTGAAGTTAATATTTGAAAAATTGTATTGGTCAAATTGATTTGTTTGTGATTGATACAATAGGACTTTTTCTCTTCTTAGGATGATCAGTGATTTAGACCAGTCAGATTATATAAATATATTCATTTGTAATAATATTTAAAACATACCTCCAAATATTTTTACTAATAAATTCCGACATATATAAAATATCTTCTACAACAAAATGATCTTCTTCTAATAAGATGAAATAACCCTTATAATATTTTGTTGGATAAAAATGATTCATTACGAATTCAATCTAAAGTATATTTTTTTTCAAAACAAAAAACAAACAAAGAAACAAACATATGCATTAAAAATGTTATAAACATTCAGGGTTCTTTTTTTTAAAACAAAAATTAGCTATGAATTACATTAAATCATTGAATCAATAATGAGTTCATTAATAGATATTATAATTGTTGACCATTAGAATGATTAAATATGTACACAACTAAACATTTAAAATAATGTTGAAGACAATAAAATACTACTATTTTGGTCACTAAGTTAATAAGAACAAAAAGTTTTGGAAATAATTATTGATTGGACAATAATCTCCGTAACGTATCAACCAAACACAGATTCATGTAGTCAGGATTCTGAATTACATTTTATGTATATAAGGATCAATGATACTATTTGGCTGATCAAATTGAACTAGGTGAAACTAGACAGGAACACCTACCAACCTAATTGGTTGAACGCCTTAATCACTAAACAAATTGTTCTACCACGAACAATAGTAAGTATTAATTAATATATTTGTAATATCCTAATGAGTGGAAAAATTAAATTTTCTGAAGTTAAGTGACTCAGTGTAAGCCTCTTTATAATATTCTTGTTGTTCCATTGTACTATTTAAACTTGGATTAATTTTGATTTGGTTGTTTATTCTCTGAAGAAATGGATTACACTGAGTCACGAAACGTCAGAAAAATTAATTTTTCTATTCATTGGGATATTACAAATATATTCGTTAATTTATAACAATCTACCCAATGCTCAATTTATTCGAAATTATCAAGGCGAACCTTGGTAATGATACCTACAATAGTAACTATTATTTAGATGATTATGTTGTAGTGATTGGCTTAATGTGAATATAGTTTTCATTAGAGATTGGTGGTAACTGAAGAATCACCGTCAGTCATTGAGTATTAGATTTTAACTTCAAAGTGTAAAAGACCACAGATGTTCGATCCCTTGAAAAAAAGATTGGACATTACCCTGACTTTGAAGTATTCATAACTCACAATGATAACCTTAATGCGTTTGAAAAGAATTAATTTATTCAAGTTGCTATTTCCATATCTTACGAAATTCTTGAGAGTTTTGGTGCTCAGAATATATATATAATACACTAGTTACATCAAAAATCCTAATGTCTTAGTTTTGGAATTTATACACTTTTCTAACATATACCATTGTTATTATTAGTAAAATATGAAATGAATATATGAGAAAAAACAAGGCTAAAACAGTGTCCAATTTTTTCTATTACCATAGTAACCAATGTCCTCATCACAAATTAAGTCCGGTTACCTTATTTTTTCTAAACTTCTTGCTTTCTTTCTTTAGAAAATAGAGAACCGTAATCTTATAATGACTTTGACAAAACATTAGGTTAATGAAGGTTTTTTACGCGTGAGAGCCTACTTTTATCTTCTGAACATTTTGTATTCAGTTTCTGATTAATAAATAACCATGAACAACCTATTAAGTAGATCAGCTATAATTGGTAGCTAATTCAAGTATATTTGACTGAAATTTTTCATGAAGCATTTTGTTTAGAATCTTTCCATCAGAAACCAATTGGGTTAATCAACTTTTTTAACAATTCAGTACCTAATATATAATGATTATAACAATAAAGTTTTCAGTATTGTGAACAACAAATCAAATCTTATTTTTGATAGAATGAGTAGTTAGTGAATTGTGAAGAAATCTTTGTTATATCACTCTTTAAATTAAGTATTGAAGATGTTGTTTAAGAAACAATGAAAACTTCAGACAGTCAGTCAGTCTCAGTAACGCTGAGACTGGAACAGATGTGTTTCCCCAAGCCACTATACCGCTACAGAACGACGAGGTGAAAATCACAAAACGAATAGTACAAGAGATGAAATTAATATGGTAGCGATTATGACGAGGAAGAATAAATAGATACAATATATATCGAAAAGACGGAGTGGCAAAATATGGAGAAATACTGGAAATCAAGATAGAGAAGATAACGAGCGAGTGCATCTACACCATTTTGAACGATTCTGACCCATGTCACCGAAAGCCTCCAGATACTGACTGAGGTGATCGCGCGGAATCAAATCAAAAAGTCGGCATCTGCCAACGTTTCTCAGACTCATAGTCAATGATTACATAAATCAGTATCATGTCTTGATTTATCCATCCATAGATTTCTTCCAACATACTTCTATACCTCTAAAATCTTTAACCTCAGCCACAAATATTTTCAATCATCTGAGTCTAAGTTTACTGGAAGAGAAATAGCAGATTAGCGTCGGATAAAGTACAATTTTTTTCAGGTATCATTACTAAGGTTTAACTTGATAATTCCGAATAAATTGAGCATTGGATAGATTGTTATAAATAAAATTAATATATTTATATAATTTTGTCAGATTAATCTGATTGATAATAATCCCAGATGATAAAATAATGAAAATAAACACCATGTAATGAATAAAACATTTGTTATATATATATATATATATATATATATATGCTGTGAAATTTTCTGATTGATTTACAGCAGTTTTTAGAAAAACTGGAGAAGTTCGATGTTACGAGATTCAATTATCTTCAGTTCATATCTTGCAGAAGTGTTCTAAAGCGAGAAATATTTGCTGCTTGCTTTCAAAGTTTCGCCTACTACCCTAAGTTCTATTTTAATTTGCTTAACTTTATCTTCAGACGTAAATGATTTGGAATGCGTTTTTAATTAGGCTCAGTATACGACCATATGTTATCATCATATCGGATGACAACAATAAACTGAAAAAAATAGAGTGAGGGGAAATATTAAGGAAACTCCAAGGTAACTAGCAACTAAATTGTACATTGTAACAATCAATTTTGGTGTTTGTAACATTGAATTATGACTGTGTTATAGAGACTCATAACATTAATCTGCTGAAAATAAAGAATTAGGTGAAACAACAATTAGGTTAGGACTCTATATTTAAAAGTCTAGTACACAAGAAATGAAATCACTACTTTAAGAAGTTAAAGAGTCAGCTAGTCGTTTTATGTAGAACCTGGTACATAGGTGCATTGGTTTGTGTTGACACTACACATTATTACACCGAGCTGAAATTATTAAGATAAACATTAAAGAGGTAGTATTAGTGGTAGTAAAAAAAAATTATCAAGAAAATGATTCAAGAAGAACAAATTAAGTAGTGAAACAAAAATAAGTTTAAAACTCAGGGTCTAATAAAATACAAGGAATGAATTTATCTTAGCCATCTCATCTAATGTCTCCAACCGTTAGAGTCCCAATAATCACATCGACCCATCAATCAACTAGCCTACGCCAACCGACATGTATCAGATAAAGTCAATGACTGCATCAACCGATGATACATTTTAGTTTAGGTACCTCTATCTTTCTCCAGATCTACTCTTACCTTATTTAATATTGAGGGGTTGAGGTAGACGGTTGTTGGGTGTACGTAATATGTGTCCCAACCACTTCAATTGGAGAAGATCCAAAAACTTATTAACTATTTTATCATTTTTGCATAGTACCTTACGCCTAATCTCAGCATCGTCTACTAATAAATTTAAAACATAGAGACAATAACGAAACCTAATACATGTACCAAATTAATAATGGAAATTATTAAAGTTATCTTAGATAATAAACTTATACAATCCCCAGAAGATTTTAAACAGTATCCTTTAGCTTCTATTTTCATAACTTTTTCATGAAACCTGATAGTTATTTACTTAGAAATAGACTGTAAGAAGAGAGAAAACTGTGGCAATAATCACCTTTGTGAATTTCTGAATGATTTAAAAACATCAGAAACATGAAAACTTTAAACGTATAGGTAACATACGGCAGTCAGTACATGATTAGTTTCTATTGTTGCGAGAAGTAGTAAACAACGAAAAGATAGCAACTAAGTGAAATAATACAAATGCATGCATCCAACTACTGAATGAACTAAATAAGAATGAATTTCCAACTACTAATAAATAAGAGGATAATTCTTACTAAAAAAAAGAGAACAACATGAATCAATTAACATTTTTCAACAGTATCGACGTCACTCAACGAGAAACCAGAATACACGATAGAATGAACAACTGTTTCGCTACACATTGGGTACATAAGTGTATGAGTTTCCTGAAAGTCAAATCAAGAGAAATTATCCAAACTTGACAAAAATCACTATGAATTCGTGTTGTCAAAGTTCCCAAATGAAAAAAACAATACAAAAGTCAGCAAGACTTACTTTCCACAACCAATGATGCTTAATTTGAGTAAAATGTGATTCACGATAATGCTGAAATGTGTCTGGCCAATGAGCATTTAAACATTCTATATTAATAGCTCTGAAAAAAGTATAAATGACAAAATTACGCATATATATATATATATATATATATATATATATATATATATATATACCAGATGTTAAAAATATTGTCCACAAAGACAATGAAAGCTCTGAATAAGGTCAGTGAGCTTAGATAATGCAACAGCATTGAAAATATCCACCTAAACTACCATGTTTTCGACACTATTCGAGGTGCTTCCGCTTACATGATTACAGCTAATCTAATAAATCCAATCCTGTTTTAATTCAGTAAGAGAGAATAACACGAACCTTCACCTTTCTGTTGCTACCATAATGAAAAATACGTTGAATCTGTTCCACACGAGAACAAAGCGACTACTCAGTTCTCCCTAGTTTTGACCGTTTCTAGTTGAATTCAGAGCATGACATAAACTAAATATTAGTTTACTTTACAAGGCTCGTATGCACAGTTTCTTTCATCATCTTGAAAAGCATAAGAACAATGACTTAAGAAGAGTAACTGTAGTATTTATACAAATTAATGATTCCTATGTACTTGATTGCGCGCTTATTACGAATTCGAAATATAATACGTTCGTTTGTGTTAATCTAGTTCCACTCGTTTAAAATGGACTATTTAAGGTATTCTTAGTTAGCATGTTAATTCGAATACATCTAACTATCATAGTAACATTAATTTAGTTTATTCTGTTCGGTTCTTGTCACCCTTTAACAATCTAGTTTTTTTAATTTAAAACTATGTACAGAAGTTAACATACGTATACTAGTGAAGTTGATTGGAAGTGAATATGCAACATCATGGTGGAGTAAAGATCTAAATACAGTTCATAAGATTAAGAATAAATTAAATAAAAGAAATATTCGAGTATTGAAACGGTAACTAAATATTACACAGATCAAATGTTAGTTGATTAAGTAATCATGTAGCTGAACACATTTCAATGGAAATAAAAAAAAACGTGAGTTGAGATAAGCCAGTCAATATTCAAGTTACAAATTCGAAAGAATCGAGAATGATGCAGTTGTAATATGATAAGTGTTTGAGAAATGGTTTTTTTGTACGGCCTTAGTAAATAACATTCTTCCATGAACAGTCTTTATTTCGTCTAATCACGTTATTGGTTTCTTTCTTTGGTCAGTAACTGTATTTGAATATTCACTGCACCATGATATTACATATTCACTTCTAATCAACTTTACTTGTATAAGTATGTTAACTTTTACGTTCAATTTTAACTTTAAAATATTATAGGTTGTAAGTAGCTGACAAGAGTATAACACAATCAAATTAATTAGTCATAGTGCCCAGACCGTTATTTCTGCTCTATAAACATCCACTATGAAAAGAACACAGATATAAAGGCGAATAAAACATTTGTTGAGTTATCGAGTTACTTCTCATGAAAAACTTAAGTAGTGGCAGTTTGGGAGTTACACAGCATTTCCGTTTAAAGTCAGCCGGTATCACTAGGACGCATAAAAATGGTGTGTGTGTGTGTGTTGCTTAAAGCCGATTACATCAATCTGCATTTCGTAAATGACTGATTAAGAAAAACATTCGATGTTCCGAGAGACCTTGAACGCTATTATTATTGTTATTGACTAGATAAAAAGAACAAGGATAGTTCTGTTTTCAGTGACTTCATCTGCAGGGCTTTACAATGGTCAAAATCATGGATAATTGGAAGGATAAAATCTAAAGTATAAACGAATTGACTTACTCAGTGGGTTTTATTCTACTATTACAATCTCTTGGATCAGTACCAGGAAAGGTGTTTGGAAATAGTTGCATTGAATGGGGATAAAAAATTTGAACAGTACGAGTGAAGCGAATAGATCCGATAAGATTGTTCAATTCATCAGAATAGAAATCATGTGAAAAAATAATAAGGGCTGTTTCGATTCCTTTTGTACGTCGTAACGATTCAATTAACAGACTTAACTCTATAGATCTATTATGAACCTGAACAGAAAACATCAGATAATTAGAAGCCACACTGATTTGATTGAATGATGATGGAAGCATTGGTTGGATTACAATAAGCCAAATATAATCATTTTTTATCAATTCTAATCACAGTCTATGAAAACAGGACTTGAAAAGAGTAAGTTTAGTTAGTGGATACTCTAAAATATTTGAAAGTTAACTTGACAATAGCTATTTCAATTTCAGCATTGGTACAAGTTTACCGAACAAAGATAAAATTATGTATGACCGAGAGAGTAAACTGAGCTTCCAAATGGAATAAATAACATAAGTAACGCAATAACATATGATCGATTGCTGATGTTGAAATGAAATGAGCTTGATTTAAGTCCTTTCAGTATTAAAGTCTTGTGGAAATTATTTGAAACTTTAAAGTACTGTTTATTGAACGATGCTTTCTGAAAAATGTTATCCAGCATACCTGTAAATCAATGATATAAATCTCGTACAGGGTTGAAGAAACAAGGTTACTTCATAAAGTGATGTGACAACTAAACCTAAAAAATAAACTGAGGACAAACTAAAAACAGTGCTGCGCTTGCTAAGAAACAACTGACCTCGGTGTCTGCAAACATAACTAGTCTACTGTTAATCCAAGAAGAAATAAATCCACAGTACTCCTCTTTAGTAAGATAAGTCGGTCTTAACCAGTTTAAAAAACAGCATTTATGATTGACTATGCCTATGAACTTATCTGAACTCAGAATCCTTGTTTCTTTCAACAGAAAAATGCCAATTAATAAGACATTCGTACCTAGATTATACTGACATGAATTACGAGTAATTATATCATCGTCACATAAATGTCGGAATATGACGATCAAACCATCTGAATTTTTAAAACATTTATTCAATCATTGTTTTTTATTTAAATACTATCTCATTTAATGCAACTAGCTTATTGAATAGAAATTGGTGTGGAGGCCTACAGGCACACTGTTTGTGGGTGTGATGGCTAGTAATAATACTACTCGGTTATTCGTTTAAATTTCTATAACTTATTTATTGTGAAAGCCCAGCAAAGAAACACTGCATCTCTGTTACATAAGCAACTGGTGGTTGTTTGAACAGCCGAATGCTGAAATCTCTACTATAGACTAATATATATATATATGGTAGTGTTTAGCAACTGTTAAGCATGATCTCATCATACATATAAACAAGTCATCTGACCACTATGAGCAAGCGTTTTCTAATTAAAAACCACTATATTTAAACTGTCTTCGTGTTGTGCTCACGAAACTGAACGGTCTAATCATGGAGCTTTTATTGCCTTTTCAAATAACACCAACAATACATAACTTAAAAATGAGTTTATTATTTATTTATTTATTTGAACACATATTAGTATGAAGGGGCATCAAATACATACGCGCAACACAAAAACAATGAGAATGTGAAGAGATAGATAAGGTAGGGTGCTTATAAGAAAAAGTGGACCACCCGTGTTCACCAACCCGGTTAAAGCGCCGAACATTCGCTTTTTGTCCTCTCAATTTCGTAAACAACACCCCCGCCACGAGAACGAAAGTGAATAGGACTTCTCTGGTAATGGCTGTATATGCGTAGCCATGAGAGAGCATTTCGAGAGAGTGGACTCTCCCCACCCTCGGCCGTACCATGGCACTATTTATAATTAATCGACAGCTCGTTTAGCGATTAAGAAATTTGATTAGATGCCTTCCATAATTGTGCTATCATTAATCACACATTTATTATGACTGTCTTCTCTCATGGTTAGGACTCTGTCTTTTCAGCTGACTGTTTTTTTTGTATTAAGCAGCAAGGTCAACAAAACCGTTCAGCTCAGAGGACGTAAGACCCACAAAATAATGCTTGGTTTGCAAACCATTGCTATCAAATCAAACTACAAATTAAATTTTAAGGTGAGAAACATATCAATCTCGGTTTTTTTTACTTGAGAGTATCATTATGAAAACATTGATTCGATTGCATTTGTTACGTATGAAATAAAAAACTTTTATTAAATATAAATCACTTATTAGCCTACTTGTATTATCATAACATGTTTAGGAGAGGATCTTGTAGAGTTGAAATTATCTCTTGTTGGTAGTTGACCATACAGGTCTTCGTTTTTTACGTATTGCACCTTATTAATATTTGAAATATATTGTCGTAGATTTGGAATTGAACTGAGTGGTAATAAATGAGACAACGGACCTGAAGTTTCTAATGATTTGTTTATGACAAAACGTATATTTTTAGGATACTGCAAATGAACTGGTTTTAGCCATAAAGAATCCTGCAAAAGATTAAAATTAAATGAGTCTGTACATATAAGGAAGCATTAAATGGGCTGAAAGCAAACACACCAATGACTAAACATTACTACACAGTCAGACATTCTCAAAGTACGAAGGAAGCTTGGCAGTTTTAGGTAATGGTCATTTCGCACAATATTTCAACTATAATGAGAAAATGAAAAACCAATATTAATTATTCAAACAACTAAGTACGCTAAGTAAAGCCATAATGATTTTGTGACAGTTTAAATCAGCATTAAAAATCGCATAAACGTGTGGATGGGAGTATTGTAACACATGACTATTTTTCAGAAAAACGGTATTATTTTAGCCAACATAATCTGTTTGACCAACATAGTGTATATCAAGTATGCCCGACTACCGCCTACGTCGATGGGCAATGTATTCTGGTGCAGGAGCGGACTGGAGAAGAGCTAGGGGAGGTCAAACCAAAATGTAGCATCAGTCCATGAGGTCGATGACAATTGAACCCAGTCATGTTAATAGGTATAGGTTACCTGATTGGGGCCCACGTGATTATCGCAACCAATAGTTAGAGACTTTGGATGACATGGCTCAAAACTGTTTGCAATGGCGCATATGCACTTATTGTTTATCTTCCCCCAAAATCTGAGATTTTAAATTTCTCATACCATTTTCTGTTTTTGATTCACTAATTTATATTCTATCCTCAAATCATATCTTCGATGCTTAATCATTCTTATTATACTTTTAATAACTTATTCATTGATTTGGTCTGACATATTTGTGCTAGTGTGGCATGGCGACTTGAACCGATGTACTGGTTCTACGTTGAGAATGAATGATTTGTATTGTTTGAGGAGTTATGTTTCAGCTATGTATCTAGTTTACTATTCACCACACTAAAATGGTTGAAAATAAAGACATTGAAACGAACTTTAACAGTTCTTACCTTAGCTTACAGCCGTTAATAAACAGATATATACAACAAGCAGCATACTAACCGTATCCGATGTTACCTAAGGCAATTACATTCAACAGTTAAGATATCGATCAGGAGCCCGAATTGTAGCACATAGACTAGAGTTTAAGCACAACTGCAGCGCCAGAATTTTGAGGTAACTCAAAAATTACAAATACATCCTAGGTACTTCGTCGAGAAGTCTTACCAAAATGACTTCATTTATACAGCGGAAAACTTAACAATAAGTCAAGAAAATCAAAATGACTGAGACAAATTATACAGGATAGGTTGTCAGATAACGAAAAATATCCACGAAAACATGAAGTAGGACATACAGCTGGCGATAAAATTACGTCTTTCCAAAGCCAAAAAACGTTAGAATGCTCATATTCTGAAAATTCTGAATATCTCCAAAATTTGCTGAGTATTAACACCAACAACAGTACTACTAGGAGGACTGAGAGAAAGAACAAAATCTGGCGGCACATGGGGCGTGTTATTGGCAAGAAGAAGGATGTAGTAGGGAAGCATCTGAAAAGAATGAAACTAATTGTTATGAATTTTCGATAAATTTCCCTGTCAATGAGTGGCAAATATGAAAGCGGTAAACCTACCTGACTTTGATGCGCATTGTTTGTACGTTAGTTGTTCATTTGAAAGGATTTGTACAGCAATGCTAAAAGACAAACATGTTGACAGTAAATTTACAGATACAAAAAGGTGAATGTAAGTGGTTCAAAATCTAAATACCCACCGCTGACGTACACTTACAAGTCCTAGGCTGCCAGTATTTTTTAATTTGATATTTGTATCCAATGTAACTGTAGACATGGTCACAATAAATAGCTATCCAAAAAAGTTTCCATTTATGTTTATTCGCCACAATGAATTCCGAATCCACGTATTATACATATACTCCTTAAAGCCTAGTACATCAAATATGTTATTTATCGTATTCTCCTAACGGGCAGAGTGAGTAACGTTCCACTTGACCAAAAAGATTAGAAACAGCTCTCCCCGTAGCATCATAAATACCAAAGCAAATAATAAATGCTTTATCTACTATCATGTATTACATTGTCCAAAAAGGCTAGCAATATCTGTATTTCAAATATACTGAACATAAACTACAAAGATATGGTTACGATTTCGAGATTTGCGACATGTTTTAGCAATATACTTGACCATGCTAAAAAATCATACGAACAAATCAAGTTACTCTCTCACCATGAAACTAGACCTATATTGATATAAACTATAGGCAGGGACTAACATTTTTCTTTCATTTTGTTCTTATAGATATAAAAGGTTAACAAATGGTAGTCATATAAGTTAAAGAGTGCTCGCACGATATCACCTACTCATGGACATTGAATTTGAGTGCTTATAACACCACTCATTTCAAAAATGTGTTTCACCATCAAAGTAATCACTGCAAATCAGCCTCAACCTTTAATATTCAGGTGAGAAAGTTAAGTGGCTAAATTTTTCGGTACAATCAACGGTACATTAAAAAAATTAAATCTGCATAAAAGCCGCAAGCATAGGCTTTTGTCCTATGCAATGAACTACAGACCAAAATAGTTATGTCCATATTGTAATTTCCTAATTCAGTCGATATTTATTCAATGCTTCGCTTTGTATCTGTCTGAAACAGAACACTACACTTTATGTATAAGAAAGTGTTCAAAGTCTCTAATGTCTCACGATAGTGTGCCACAAGGAGCTGTTCTTTCACCTCTTCTTTTCTCTCTTCCTGCATGATCTGCTATCTTCTACATAAAACACTTTTGGGAAATATGCGGACGGTCACACTCTGTGTATTCTGATTTCGACCTCTTTACATCATGTAGCGGTAAATAAATCCCCAAAATAAATAGCTCTGTAAGTCTTCAACATTGGATGCTGACCATATTAGTCTTGAAGAATTTATAGTGGCATTTTACCAGAACCACACAATCTTCAAAGCTGAACAAAAGACTACTCGGAAAATAGATATTCAATATTTAACACAGAGAAATACCTAACGATGGAGAAGGCGGGAAGAATGTATTGAATAAATTGGAGTAGATCGAATGGCATGTCTCGGCCATGCAGGCGTGGTCCCCGATGAATGTTACCTTATATCTTTTACTCATATTAGATATATTGTTCTATCTCTAGCCTTAGCTTTTTCTCCATCATGTGTTGGTAGTTGGTACGATACAGTGAGTTGGTGTAGACGATGATGTGACTTCCACGTAAGGTCTTATGGATTTGGCAGTTATATCATGACAAATCTACAATTTTAGGATTAGGTCTATTATTAGAGCGGTACTTATATCATAGTAGACCATAGTTCTACAGAGTCACCTACCTGGTGGCTCTCGGTCATGCATCAGCACAGATCACGAGTGGGAAAGCCGTACTCAACATCCCATGCAATCTCTAGCTGGATTAGATCAATCGATCCACGATATATTGATAGCCTATCAAATATATCTTCGAACATCCTCGCTTCTGTCTTTTGATTTCACTTGATGACCACGCTTCATATTAGAAGTTGTTGTTGGTTAAAGCGTTGTCAAACTCCGAATACCTTTGACATCTTCAATTCCATAGAAATAAGTGGTTTTTGTCTCGTATTGAATGGTGGTTTGTTGTTAATGGTCTCATACTTAATCCATCTCTGTCAAACTGTTATCTTTAGCCTGTGACATAAACATCACCCAAACAACATGTCGGGAACCCATAATGCTTGTGCCATTGGATACACATTGATATGAGTCTGATTGAGTGCATGTCTGCACATAAATCTTTATCCTATTCTCCCGATGGTTGAAACACGCAGACGATCGATAATTTATCCACAACCAATTAATATATATATATGGGTTTTTAACACTCACACACACATTCGTTTCCCTGTAAGCTTGCTATCTGCACGCATATGGATTTTACTCATCTTTAACAATAAACTATCTCTATAACTGGTGTTTTAATAATTGCGAGTAAATCCATAATTTTAATAAAAGATTTAACCTGTGTTAAATACTCAGTTATCGGGATAATATTTATTGGAGTCAGATATAAGGGAAATTAACCTCTTCGCATCATTCTCTTCTGGACTTTTGAGAAAAGAATTTGTTGCCCAGAGTGCTGAAGGCAGTTTGCAGGGTGTGAGGAATGTTTTGAGATCATCATTAATATGGTTGTGGATAGATATCTAAAGTCTTGCAAACTCCTGGCAAGTGTTATCTGACCGTCCACTTCATTCATATCTCTCTCCTAAAACATCTCGTGGTAGAATGAGACATCAATAGGTAGTGGCATTGAATCCTAGCCACACGATCTTCGAAACCAAGCAATTACCGAAAAGACTTATATTCAATAACTGACAAGAGGAAATGGATAACTGTTAAAGCGGTAATATCAATTTAATAAGTCGAATGTCATGGCTTAAACATGCAGGCGTGGTCATCCTTGTGTAACTTATCTCTATTCATATTAAACATATTGTTCTATCCCCTGATTAAATGTGTTCTCTATCATGTATTGGTGATGATCCCGGTAAGCACAACGCAGTGTAAACAATGATGTGACTTTCATGTTAGATCTTGCAGACTAGGTATGTTAAATCATGACAAATTTACAATATTAAGATTAGTTCTATTAATAGACAAGTGCAAAAGAGAAGTAGAAAATATTACCACAAATACGTTAAAAGAACTATAACAAAATCTCCGTGATTTCCAATCAAGAAAGTACACCAATTGACGATCAGGTTGACGTGATTCATCAAGTAAATAAAAAATATAAATTAAAAGGTCTCTAATTAAAATACTAACAAATTTGGAGTTTTCATCAATATATGGGCCTTAACTTTTGTAAAAAATAAATGCATGCAGTGATCCCCGTAAGAGGTTTGATGAAACACGACTAATACGTGGTGTGGATTGCACACCGAAGTTGTTGGATAATATCTCGTCGAGAAAAGACTAGAACGAATTTTATGAGAGTATTGAAAAATAATTACATACGAAAAGCCGCTTCCAGAAATTTTATGTTAGTCTACCTCACTTGACAGTCATTGATTCAATAGTCTCATGTGAAATGAACCACACAATCTTCAAAGCTGAACAAAAGACTACTCGGAAAATAGATATTCAATATTTAACACAGAGAAATACCTAACGATGGAGAAGGCGGGAAGAATGTATTGAATAAATTGGAGTAGATCGAATGGCATGTCTCGGCCATGCAGGCGTGGTCCCCGATGAATGTTACCTTATATCTTTTACTCATATTAGATATATTGTTCTATCTCTAGCCTTAGCTTTTTCTCCATCATGTGTTGGTAGTTGGTACGATACAGTGAGTTGGTGTAGACGATGATGTGACTTCCACGTAAGGTCTTATGGATTTGGCAGTTATATCATGACAAATCTACAATTTTAGGATTAGGTCTATTATTAGAGCGGTACTTATATCATAGTAGACCATAGTTCTACAGAGTCACCTACCTGGTGGCTCTCGGTCATGCATCAGCACAGATCACGAGTGGGAAAGCCGTACTCAACATCCCATGCAATCTCTAGCTGGATTAGATCAATCGATCCACGATATATTGATAGCCTATCAAATATATCTTCGAACATCCTCGCTTCTGTCTTTTGATTTCACTTGATGACCACGCTTCATATTAGAAGTTGTTGTTGGTTAAAGCGTTGTCAAACTCCGAATACCTTTGACATCTTCAATTCCATAGAAATAAGTGGTTTTTGTCTCGTATTGAATGGTGGTTTGTTGTTAATGGTCTCATACTTAATCCATCTCTGTCAAACTGTTATCTTTAGCCTGTGACATAAACATCACCCAAACAACATGTCGGGAACCCATAATGCTTGTGCCATTGGATACACATTGATATGAGTCTGATTGAGTGCATGTCTGCACATAAATCTTTATCCTATTCTCCCGATGGTTGAAACACGCAGACGATCGATAATTTATCCACAACCAATTAATATATATATATGGGTTTTTAACACTCACACACACATTCGTTTCCCTGTAAGCTTGCTATCTGCACGCATATGGATTTTACTCATCTTTAACAATAAACTATCTCTATAACTGGTGTTTTAATAATTGCGAGTAAATCCATAATTTTAATAAAAGATTTAACCTGTGTTAAATACTCAGTTATCGGGATAATATTTATTGGAGTCAGATATAAGGGAAATTAACCTCTTCGCATCATTCTCTTCTGGACTTTTGAGAAAAGAATTTGTTGCCCAGAGTGCTGAAGGCAGTTTGCAGGGTGTGAGGAATGTTTTGAGATCATCATTAATATGGTTGTGGATAGATATCTAAAGTCTTGCAAACTCCTGGCAAGTGTTATCTGACCGTCCACTTCATTCATATCTCTCTCCTAAAACATCTCGTGGTAGAATGAGACATCAATAGGTAGTGGCATTGAATCCTAGCCACACGATCTTCGAAACCAAGCAATTACCGAAAAGACTTATATTCAATAACTGACAAGAGGAAATGGATAACTGTTAAAGCGGTAATATCAATTTAATAAGTCGAATGTCATGGCTTAAACATGCAGGCGTGGTCATCCTTGTGTAACTTATCTCTATTCATATTAAACATATTGTTCTATCCCCTGATTAAATGTGTTCTCTATCATGTATTGGTGATGATCCCGGTAAGCACAACGCAGTGTAAACAATGATGTGACTTTCATGTTAGATCTTGCAGACTAGGTATGTTAAATCATGACAAATTTACAATATTAAGATTAGTTCTATTAATAGACAAGTGCAAAAGAGAAGTAGAAAATATTACCACAAATACGTTAAAAGAACTATAACAAAATCTCCGTGATTTCCAATCAAGAAAGTACACCAATTGACGATCAGGTTGACGTGATTCATCAAGTAAATAAAAAATATAAATTAAAAGGTCTCTAATTAAAATACTAACAAATTTGGAGTTTTCATCAATATATGGGCCTTAACTTTTGTAAAAAATAAATGCATGCAGTGATCCCCGTAAGAGGTTTGATGAAACACGACTAATACGTGGTGTGGATTGCACACCGAAGTTGTTGGATAATATCTCGTCGAGAAAAGACTAGAACGAATTTTATGAGAGTATTGAAAAATAATTACATACGAAAAGCCGCTTCCAGAAATTTTATGTTAGTCTACCTCACTTGACAGTCATTGATTCAATAGTCTCATGTGAAATGAACCACACAATCTTCAAAGCTGAACAAAAGACTACTCGGAAAATAGATATTCAATATTTAACACAGAGAAATACCTAACGATGGAGAAGGCGGGAAGAATGTATTGAATAAATTGGAGTAGA